GAAAGAAAGAAAGAAAGAAAGAAAGAAAGAAAGAAAGAAAGAAAGAAAGGCTTATATTAGAGATCTTTAAAGGATGAGGTCTATGATCATGAGCCACTGGGTTTGGGCGTTTAGCCTGAAGGAAAGTTCATATGGATAAGCATCTGAAGGCAGTGCAGCAACCCAGTCATGAACATACTGAGGAATCGGAGGAGGCCTGAAATGGAAATGAGCCTTCAGAACTCCAGACGCAGTCAGTCTTAGGTCATCGTCTTCCACCTGCAGCCCCTGCTGTATTCTTTTTTTAAAATTGTTTTTTAACGTTTATTTATTTTTTGAGAAACAGAGACAGGGTGCGAGCAGGGGTGGGGGGGGGGGGCAGAGGGAGACACAAATCTGAAGCAGGCTCCAGGCTCCTAGCTGTCAGCACAGAGCCCGACCCGGGGCTCGAACTCACAGACCGTGAGATCATGACCTGAGAGGAAGCCAGTTGCTCAACTGACTGAACCACCCAGGCGCCCACCCCCGCTGTATTCTTGTGCACAGGATGAAATCCTGAGGACCATCATGAAGCATCTGAAAGCATCATGGGCTAAGTGGATTATTTTCATTATCTGATCTATTAAATTATCTCCAACCTGAATTTGTGAGCCTCTCTTCCTTGTTACTAATTTCTTAAGTGAAAGGGCTCCCTGGTAGTTTTCACTAGAAAATGCCCAGGCTGAGGAGTTTTCAACACCATGAGAATCATCCTAATTTTTATTTTTCAATTCGAGTCCTTTTTATTTCTTTTTGTTTCTCTGCTCCTCACAATTAACCACAGGAAATAGTGATGCAGATTTTATGAATTTATGAGTAGCTTCTAGGCACGGTAAAGGGGCAAGAGAAATATCATTAAAGAGTTAATGTAAAGGGAATAGAGGCTTCTTCTAGCAGGAAAAGGCGCTGTTGTTGGCTAGCCAAATGGGACAATGTAAAGGTGAAATAAAAATGATGATGCTTTATAAGACTTGCCTCAAGACAACTGCTCAATCTCTAAGCAATCATTCCCCAATCAGATTTGAAAATTTCACGTGGAAATTCCCTCTAATTCCAGATGGTCTGTGCCCACTAGCCGAACAACCAGTGGTTTGCAGTAACCCCTGTGGTAAGTGGGATTCAGCCACCAGAATGACATCCCTCTTAATCTTTGTCTTCTCTGGCTTTTCTCAGGGAGAAAGCATTATCTTTAGAGATATCAGAGCAGAATTGGAGTCAGTTTGTGTTTCTAAAGGCAAAGAAGAATTTGTGTGTGTGTGATTTATGCAACACAACAAACTCTTACAGGTGCTTTTGTATAGACTGTTGCTGAAAGTTATACTACCTTAAGCCAAATTTGTGTACCAACCTCTCATCAGATTCTTTCAATATCTTGCTCTCCTCGGCATCTGGGAAACTGTCCTGGCCGGCCACCACTGTGTTGCTGCTGGAGGTGGTTCCTGCAGGAAGGATTAGAAGAAAGACACTTAGGGGAAAAGAAATGTAGGGGGGGAGGGTTGAGCCCAGGTCTCAAGTAATTACAGTGCAGGATTTCCTATAAAATCTCATGTTTGAAAGATTCCTTACATCTTCTGTACAATCTCAGACATTCTAAACAACCTTCCAAGCCCACACCACTGAAATGGGAGAATCCCAGACATCTGTTACGGTCAAACCAAATTCCTTAGCTCTCTGATAAAGTGAGGCTACAACATTCTTGAAACCCTTTCTTCCTGACCACTTAGGTAATGAGCTTATTTATAGCAGCTGGCCCTGCTGCTGGCTGCTTTCACATTTCTGGGGCCGGGAGTTATTAAACTAACGTTGGTGAAGCGAGTCCAAGTACCTAGAGTTTCTGATCCCTGGGCTACTGCTTCTCGGTGAGAACACATTCTGGCAGCAGGTGCAGGGCAAACAGAGGGCAAAAGAGACCAAGGGACTAGAGAAATTTGAAGGCAGTTATGATATTAGGAAAATCAAAGGGAAGCCGGCTTCAAGGAACTCGAGGAGGGTGTTATCTGTTTCATAAAATGAGGCTGAGAAGCCAATTTATTAGAAGTGACAATACTGCTGAGGGAGCATTTGAGCTAATCCTGGGAGGTTATTGGCCAAGAAAATTCCACGGACATAAGAAGGAAGGTCCAGAAATGAGATTCCCAAGGGACTGCTGTGCCCTGCCTGGAATCAGTCTGAAGTGCAAAGCTCTGTGGCTTACCAAGTCCCTGACTGATGGTCATCCTTACAAATGGATTTCATTAAACTCACGATGCTCTTAGGAGTCTCAGCTATTCTTTAAAAAAAAAAAAAAAAAACAACTTTTTCTTTTAACATTTATTTATTTTTGAGAGACAGAGGGAGACAGAGCATGAGAGGGCAGAGAGAGAGGGAGACCCAGAATCTGAAGCAGGCTCCAGGCTCTGAGCTGTCAGCACAGAGCCCAACGTGGGGTTTGAACTCAGGAACCACGAGATCACGATCTGAGCTGAAGTCAGATACTTAACCGACTGAGCCACCCAGGCGCCCCAGGAGTCTCAGCTCTTCTTAAGCCATCTCTTAAACGAAAGTTTAAACAGGAATAAGAAAAAGCAATACACACACACACACACACACACACACACACTCTCTCTCTCTCCTTTCCATTCAGTGTTCCGGGTAAAGGAACATCCAGGGATCCAAGACAGGATGTCCACCCAGCTGCCCTTCCCCTACCGGAGGCTGCCGCAGAGGCCTTGCTGCTGGCCGCAAAGCGGTAGAACGGCGGGTTGTCACAGTGCTGGACGATGGGATTCACGGGCTCCGTCTGTTGCAGCTCAAAGAGAAGCTCTTCCATGGTTTGAATGGTGTTGTTACGGCACAAGTATATTGCCACCTTTTTGATCTGAGAAGAAACATGGGACACGGGATGTTTTCCAGGGCTTCGCCCGCAAGAATGCTAGACTGTAAGCTGTTCCCTTCCATGAATGCATCATCCCCAGAGCTACCATGCTGAGAGCTCAACTTCATGGTCGCCCAGCATGAATCGGAGTGTCTGCATTAAAATTCGCCTCCCGGGGCACCTGGGTGGCGCAGTCGGTTAAGCGTCCGACTTCAGCCAGGTCACGATCTCGCGGTCCGTGAGTTCGAGCCCCGCGTCGGGCTCTGGGCTGATGGCTCGGAGCCTGGAGCCTGTTTCCGATTCTGTGTCTCCCTCTCTCTCTGCCCCTCCCCTGTTCATGCTCTGTCTCTCTCTGTCCCAAAAATAAATAAACGTTGAAAAAAAAAATTAAAAAAAAAAAGAAAAAAAAAAATTCGCCTCCCTTTACATGCATGTCTGACAGGAGTGCATGTCAAAGACTTTCCCTTCCCTGATGGCCGAGTTTACACAAGCTACTTTTGGGGCACATGAATTCTCCCTAAACTGAAACCTTGCATCTAAAGCCTTATCTAGAAAGCATTTTATTTATACAAACCATGGGGAAAAACGGTTAGTGATTTTTGTTTAGACAAGGAGTCCAGTCCCTTGCTATTCTCTTCTTCCCTAGAAACTAATGAGTTTTGGTTGTTGGTATGGTTTTAAATTTAAAAACTAACTCTGGATTAAAGCTCTGTCTGATTGTAGCCCTCATTGTCAAACCTGAGGCCGGATGTTGGTGTGGCTTCGAAACAACGGGCAGCCAGAAAATCTCTCAGAAAAACAACCGGCACACAAATGCCAGTTGAGTTACGGTTTTAAAAATGCTGTTGTTTTGGGGCGCCTGGGTGGCTCAGTTGGTTAAGCGTCCAACTTCGGCTCAGGTCATGATCTCACGGTTCGTAAGTTCGAGCCCCGTGTCGGGCTCTGCGCTGACAGCTCAGAGCCTGGAGCCTGCTTTGGATTCTGTCTCCCTCTCTCTCTGCCCCTCCTCTGCTTGTACTCTGTCTCTCTCAGTCTTAAAAATAAACAAAACATTAAAAAAATTTTTAAAAATGCTGTCCTTTTATTGACCATATCATCTTCAAATACAAACACTAAATATGACATATCTCCGGAAGATTTCTCTCTGCCTGTTTCTCTCCTCCCACCTACATTTGAAGAGAAACACCTGGAAACTCAAGATTTAAGAGCCTCAAGATGTACACACAAAACATCTTTATGAGTAATAACATGATGTTTTACTGAGTTTCTCTTATGTGGTGGGTCTAATTTTTATGGAAGGTAGCTTTCAGTAACTGTTAGGAAAATATCCACCGCTTAATTCATACATTTCTGCGTCCAAAGGCTTAGAAAGAGGATGACAGAGGGGTCACTGAGACACTGACTGTCGCCTGCTTCTCGGGGGACAGAAGGAAACTTTTATGTAATACCTAGATGAGCTCCTAGGAGATTAGCATGACTGACAGAAGTTGACCTTCCCATTTTACTCGGTGCAAAGAGCACAGTCCCACTGGCAGGTGCAAATACAATGGACAGGAGCAATGACTCCAAGGGTGAGGGACGCTTACGTAGGGCAAGAGAAGCGTGTCACTGCTCACGCCACACAGGCTGATCAGGAACTGCAGGGTGATCCTCAGGTTGTTGGTCCATTTCTCGTTGTTGGCTAAAGCATTCCAAGCATTTTCCATTTCTGGTCCAGGAACTTCGTCTCCATACTAGAACAAACAAGATAAAAGCCGGCCCAGGAGACATGGGGGAAAAAAAATGTCAGGAGGCAGAATGTTTGAGGAAAAGTTGTTATAAGGGTCATGGCCATCTCGAAATCCTAAGGAGGGGGAGACGTGGCCACTCCTCAGCAAGATGCCATCTTCCAGCCATTTATAATGCACATACTTGTTCTCATGATTTCTAGTATGTTAGCATTATCATTTGTATCTATATTATTACTTTTAAAAATTGTGGGAAAATGCACATAACGTACGTTTTTAAGCATACAGTCCGGTGACATGAAGCACCTTCACCCCGTCCATGCCCTATTTGTGTGACTTTTCACAGTAAGTGCCACTTGCCCCGAGTTGGGAGCACAGGGCTTGATTAACCCGCGGGTTTTCCTGGATGACAGAGCCGTGTTACTGAGGCCCGTTTCCTCTGAGTTTACCTTGGCCGTCATGTACATGAGGTTATTCAGGACCAGTGACGTAGCTTCCGGGGAGCCCCAGCCACTCCCTCTCAGCCCGTGTGAAGTGGGCACTTCTCCTTCCCGGTCCTTGACGTCATCGTCTGGGCTGCTGGGGCTTGATCCCGGGAGGAGGAGCCTGCTGTCCACCAGCTCGATGTTGTGCAGCCAAGGCAGCAGGTAGGTGAGCATGATCTGACGCCCGTTTGGGTGTGTCGTGGGAAATCGCTGGCTTACCTCTGGAGAGAGTGGCAGTGACCAAGGGCCACATGTTATCTCATCAAAATAAATATAGATCTTAACACCAACCGACAGATCGGACGGTGACTTCAGTTTACAAAGCATTTTCACGTATACAGCAGCTCCTCCAGGCCGCAAGATCTCACAACTGAGGCTCGCCCTCAAGCCTCTCGCCCCTGGTGCTCTGCGGAGGCTCGTGGGAGCGCACAGCGGGGGAAAGCTTGGGCTTGGTCAAAGCGGACTGGGGTGGAAGGCCTCATGACTTCACACCCACTGCTACGGACGACGTGTATCAGAGCGCGCAAAACAAGGGGCTCGGAATCAGAAGGACACGTGATGAGGTCCCAGCGGCTCCACATTACCAGCTGCATGAAATTCTGTGTTAGTTATTTAACCTCTCTGTTCCTCAGCTTCCTCATCTATACAATGGGACCACATAGATGGTTTGGATCCAATCCCATGGTCTTTTATATATTAAAAGATATAAGGTATAGTATATGCTCAACACAGTGCTGGTCATCTAGGAGGCTCTTAATAAACCGTGGCTACGATTCTTATAACAATTATTGTCTTTCCACTATACCAATATTTTACCAGGTGTCTTCTATGAACTCTTAGCTGTAAAAGCGAGAACGAAGCCAGTGCGTGGACTCATGTTTGTGGCATCCACTTGAAAACTGCCAACTGTGTGGAAGCTGTGTGCTCAGTGTCGCGCTTCATTTTATGAAATAAATGATTCAAAATGGTAAAATGGTGCATCCAGTCCAGTGATTTCAGCACTATTTTCTCTGAGAGCATTTTGCACTGTTTCACTGCCAGTAGCATTTAATTTTACGACCTGAATAAGCGTTCTCCGGAAATAAAAGCACAGCATTACCTATCTGCTGCAAGCTGCTTGCCATGTTTTATTTCTAACATCTAGAGAAGAAACGGTTTGATCCTAAGGGAAATTTGCGAGCATGGTCTGATGCACTTGTTATTACCCAGTGTGGCACGTAATCTCATTTGGAGAGTTTTTGGCTGCTAAACAATAGAACAACACAGATGCCAGGAATTAAACCAAGATAATCCACTAGATCCCTGAGACGGTAGCTTTAATTGATTTGGCCCTTTTTCCAAAAATTGTAATTTTTCTATTGTGAACACTACGAATATATTTAATGCTGTGCCACAATAATCAGGGTGAACAGTTATGTTTTACATTGCTTAAAATTTCAAAATTTACTTAATTTCGAAACTTTACAGATATGACAACTGATATCATGAACTTGTCTGACACATAGTCAGATCCTTAGAAAACTGGAACATTTATCTATTCAACATACTGGGCCTTTCCTAGGTCAAGCCACTGTGCTAGGCACTACGGAGCCAGCAAGGATTCAAGATTCAGTTCCTGTCCCTGAAGAGGAGGCTCTGAGACAGGTGGCTCTGGAGCAAGGTAGAAAGTGACAAATGACACAGAAAGGAACAAACAAGAGTGCTATAGGGGTTCAGCGGAGAAAAAGGACTTCTGGCTACAAAGATTCACTTGCATGGCAAAAAAACTACAGGTAAGACCTTGGATTGCGAGTAACTTGCTCTGTGAGTGTTCTGCAAGACAAGCAAACATCTCTAATAAATTTTAACTCAATAAATGAGCGACGTCTTGCAATATGAGTCGTACATGATGCCGAATGGCACATGATCACAACTGAGCCAATGGTTCTCCTAATTCGCTTTGATATACAAGTGCTTTGGATTATAAGCATGTTTCTGGAATGATTTATGCCCGCAAACCAAGGTTTTATTGTATTTTAACTTGACTAGAAAGGACTGAGACTTTGGAGAGGAATAAATCCTTCCAGTGGGAGGGACAACTGCCATTAAGAATACTTGTCGTCTTTTAACAGTGGTAAAGAAACCTATTGTCTTTTTTTGTAGGCATGATTAGCTTCTAACACATCACATCATTTGCTTATTTATGTTTATTGCATCTTGTCTGTCAGACATAAGGTCAGATGGGGGTGTGTGGGTAGGGGGGGGAAGTCTGTCTAAAGTATCCCACACACCTAGATCAGGGCCAGGATTGTAGAGATCTTTCTAAAGGGAAAAGAGGATGAAAAAATGCCACAGACATGGAAACAACTCCCATTCACCCCTCCAGAAACAAACTTAAAAAATGTGAGACGATGTTAGTGGGCTGCTATGTACATTTTCCAGCTTCTTTGGGAGGGCCCTGAGCAACTTGCCTGGCTACTTACAAGGAATTAACTCATCTGAAATTACAGGCAATAAAAATCTCACCACAGGGTTTTCAGTAGTAAAAACAGTAAAAGTGAGAGCTAGAAATCTCTGTAACCTCCTTATTTTTCCACGTTATTAAAAAAAAAAAAGCTATTCCTCATAAATCAAAATAGCCGAAAGGTTAATTCTTGAAAAGTTAGATTGAACCTGCTTGCAACTCATTGTACGAGCTTCTTTTGTTCTTAAACTTGCAGTACTATTTACTTCCTCTCCCCTGATTTGTCCACCCTGTTACCAGCTTCTTCCTCTCAGCCAATAAAGCTCCAGTCCTGCTCCCCCTCAGGCTCTGCATCTGCTCCGTCCTCTCATTCCTTCCTTCTTTCCCAGCCAAGCCACTGAGACCTGGCTTCTGCTGCTACTTCTCCATGGAAACGATTGACAGTTACCAATAATTGTGAATCGTGAACTGTGAAGTCCAGAGGGTAATGTTTAGATCTTACCTCCTGGGAGCTCCAGTCAAGGCTGTGGACTGCTCACCTCTGAAATCCGTTCTTCTCTAGGTTTCCATGAAGTTCACTTTCTAGGTGTTCTCCTTCCTCTCTGAATGGGCCCCTATCCCCGTCTGTTCCCTCACTCTTTTTGGGCCCCGACCTTAGAAGCTGGGTGTCTGGGTGCGTTCTTCCCCCTCTGTGCTCTCTCCACTCATGGTCACATCTGCTCTCTTGGGTCTACCCCTTCTATTCCTCTATGAGTCACTAGCAGCGGCCCTCCCTTCACACCAGTCTGTCTCTACACAGGAATGTCTGACAGACACCTACACTCAACATCCCCGGCTGAGCTCATGATCTCTGCCTTGCCTTACCTCTCCTTTTCCGTGGATTGGCTCTCAAGGTAGGGTCCTCACCCCCTACCTCCCAGATACCATCCCAGGGATTGCCCTCTGTCTACCCTGCCTGGTAGCTCTTGACTCTGGGCTCCCCTTTCCACTCTCACTGGACTTAGTTCAGGCCTCCGTAATTTCCTGTGTGGACCACTGTCATTTTTCCTCAGCTGATCTTCTTTCTTTAGACTGGATGTTCCTTTATCCACTCTCCACACTGCAGCTGGTCTTTCTAAAATGCATTCTGATCTTGTCCTCCTCCCTTCTTGTTTTAAGCTGATCAGCGGCTTCCAGAACCCCAGCAGCTTGCTTGGATGCCCTTCCTATTCCCAGGGCTCTGAGGGTTTCAAGGAACACCTAGAGATAAGTGGCCTACAAACTCCTTAGGGTGCAATACAAAGCCTTCCAAGATTTGACTTCTACCTCTCTGTCTGTCCATGACCATCTATAACTTCCCCTGTCCTTGACTGTTATGTTAGCCAAACCGACCAACATATAATTTCTCAAATACAGCATGTTATTTTAAACCTCCAGGTCAATGCATGTGCTATTTTCTCAGTCTGTAATACCCATCTACTTGCCAACTGTAATGTCAACTACTTGTTTGCTTTGCAAATTTCTACTCCTCTTTCCAACTGCAGCTGAGACACCAACTTCTCTGGGAAGTCTTGCCTGATACTCCTGGTCCAATAATTGATTATCCCCTTATCTTCCATCTCATACACAGAATGTGCTTTTTTTTTTTTTTTTTAATTGCGCTTGCTGCCCTGTATCCCACTAACCATATGATTACACATCTTTCTTTATTATTAGACTATGACCCATTGATGGAAGAGAGACTCTTTTATTTACATCTGTGTTCCTATGACCCAAACACAGTGTCTGGCATATAGCTAGCACTCGAATCTTGGTTGACATGAATAAAATTAAATTTTAGCTTTCCAAGAGGAGAACTAGTTCATCAAGAAGGGTTTTCTGGAGTCCCTCCAGTGTTGCAGGCACGAGGCAAGGATGTGACTAACTCTGCTGCAGATGGATGGAGAGGTTCTCACGGTAGAAGCAGATTTTCAATTAGGTCTTAAGGAAGACTGGAGTTAGGGAGAGGGAGAGAAGGGCCATTTCCAGCAAAGGGAACAGCATGCACAAAATCAAGGATTTACAAAATGGCCTGCGATGTAAAGGATCAAGTTCCTAGGATCAAGATCCTAAAGGATCAAGAAGGTTCCTGGATGAAAAGGTGGAAAGCAAGGAAGTTTGGAAGAGGAGTTTTTTTTTTTTTAATAAGTGAAGGCGTTCCTGTTATTTAACGTCTCTAAGCCTCAGCATCTCGTCTGTAAAATAAGAAGGATGATTACGGTGGTAGGGGTGGTGGTGGTAATTCCACACCAGGATGAGGCTAATTGCCTGGCTTTTATCAGCTTATTTTAATCGTTGCACCCTCTCAGGTAGTTATTACTGCAGATAAGGAAACAGAATTTAGAGGTTCTGTGACTTGCCCAAGGTCAAACAACCAGTGAATGGCAGGATCAGGGATGAACCCCGGCTGCCAAGCCCAGAGCCCCTTTCCAACCGGTACTCGTGGGGTTGTAGAAATCAAATGATAAAGGAAGTGTACATAAAGTGCTTAGTATAGAGCATGCCATATATTAACAACCCAACAGATGGAAGCTGTTATCATCAGCAGCTATTTTTAGGACAGCTAGGGAGAGACGTTTGAGTGGAGGAGTGCTAAGCATATTTGGTTTTACGTAGCAGGTGGATTGCACTGTTGACGACCTCACGCCTGCTGGGACAGGGATGGAAGATTATGGCCTTGCCCTTCCCTTTCTGCCATCTTAGAGCCCACTGGGAACAGGCCTCCTAAAATAACAAAAGTGTCTGGAAGGCGGTGGCCCAAGGCCATCTTTTCTGGTAATACTAGGGGTCGCCGGAACCAGAGGAAACACACAACTCTTCTTAAATTTAAGGTGTTTATGCTTGAGTTGTAACTGAATTCTATCTAGGCAAGAGATACTCGTATGCATACAAAGCAAGGAACAACACAGCGACTCCTAGTGGCAAACCGAACAAGCCCGGAATAATCTGGGGAAAGGTAACTCTTGCTTATGGAAAGAGCAGCGTGGTTCGTGCCAAATTCCGAAGCAGCCTTCCTGCTAAGACCACTGGACACAGAATCCATGTGATACTGTTCCCCTCAAGGATTTAAACTTATTGAAAAGTAAGTGAGCAAAAGCGTAGGTTTGTTCTCTTGTATAAAAAATAAAATAAAGGGAAGATTACTTTGTGCAGAAATGATCACACAGGTCATTGCATGGTACCTGAGAAGAGTGGGAGGGTGAGCTCGGGGTACATCCTGGCCAGTTCACATGACAAGAGGGCTAGTGACACACTGTAGAGGGGTGGCAATGGGCCGTGCGTTCCATAGAGAATACTTCCGGGTCTCTGTTCAGCGACTTTCTTTGAGTATACAAAGAGCTTTGCTTCAAGGATCTACAAAGAGGTAGGAAAGTTAGACACGGTATGAAAAAACATTGGCTGGCTGTCTCAGGAGTATTTATATTTAATCAAGTTTCATAGTAACAAAACAAATGAATGCATGTTTTAATATAGTATTAAAGGTAAAGCATCAGTTAGCTCCTGTGTTCACGGAAGATTATATAATTGTTTTCTACTTTTCATATCTGCCAGTGACATACAGGAATAAGCAGCAATCCAGTTATCAACTACCCTTTCTATTTTTGTGTGCTCAAGGATGGAAGTTTGTATGTAAGTAAGTGATACGTGCCTGCATGAGCTGCATGGAGATTTCATAAATCTCTCTGTTGGTGTCAGAGGCCTTGAATAGAACAAGGTTTAACAATGTCACTATGTCGAAGGGATAGTTCCTAAAACAAAAACCAAAAACCAATCAGCATAGTTTACACGACAGGCTGGTTAACAATCATGATAACATTGATTCATGTTAACAATCATGATAACATTGATTCACGATAACATAATCATGATTCTAGGTGACAACTGACCTCAGTCACACTTACTAATGACACTTTCATGCCCATTTGGGCATTTCCTCCGCCCCTCATTCTTTTGCTGTTTATTAGAAAAAGGGAAATAGCTCTATTTTTGTTTAAAATTCAATATTGTTGCACCCAGATAAATGAACACACAAAAATCTATCTCGCGTAAATAGATTTTAATGATAACCAAATAAGAATGGAAAGAACAGAAGATATCTCTACATTTCTCAGTATCTCACTGATTTAATATTTTCATTCAATCCATTTAAATGTAGTAAACACCCAACATATACCAGGAACAATTGCACAGTACTAGCGATACTAAGTTAGTAAGGCTGGTCTGTTCCTTTAAGGGAGACTTGGTGTTTAGTTGGGGAGATAATCTATACCATCTAGTTATGATGGGAGTAGCCACAGCATGCTAGACAATCCTGATGAGGGATATCTACACCAGACTTGGTGTTAGGGAAGGCTTTTCTAAGGAGGAAACAAGTAAACTGAGCTCTGAAGAACCAGGAGACATTAGCCAGGCTATGGAAGGGGTCATATGGGGGAGTGTTCTAGGCAGAGACCATTGCATTTTGAAAGATTACGAGAATGAAATGGGAAGATCCCTTCTGTAAAGGAAAGAATCTCTGTGTAGCAGACTGAGTGAAAGAAGATGGGACTAGGGTGGTAGGTGGGCTCAGAAGCTTATGAACTTCATCCTAAAAGTTATGGAGATCCTACAGGATGTTCAGTAGGGGAGTGAGGCAATGACACTGATTTTGAAGAACCACTCTGAGTTTTGCGTGGAGGAGGAATTTGTAGGGGGGTCGATATTGGGAGCTGTTACCATGGTCCAAAGGGGAACTGACGAAGGTTTGAACTAGGGCAGTTATGATAGAGACAGAAAGGAGGGGATAAGATCTAAAAACTACAAAGGAGATAAAATCATCAGGATTTGGCAATTGATTGTATGCACGGGATAGGAGCTGGGGGTGGAGGCAGAAACACAGGGAGTAGGTTATGTGGCAATTAGCAGTATAATCAAAGGGAAATGGGGCTGAAATTCATTTCATTTTCTTGCTATACAATACTCTTTAAAGATGACTTTTTTTTTTTTTTTGCTGTGTGTTTTTTCTTATAGTGGAAAAGAGATCATGAATAGAAAACCCTTGATAAGATAAACAATTAGGGAATAGTTCATAGCTAGTGAGTGACTGACATTTATTTTGAGGCAAACTTCAGAAAGCAGAAGATGGCTTGGGGGTGAAAAAAGGATATTTTCACTTCTTGTTTTTGATATTACTCAAGCTTAATTTTTTATCTCACTACTAACACATGAATACAACTTTCTTTAATTTAATATAATTTAATTTTAATTTTTTAAGGTTTATTTATTTTTGAGAGAGAGTGTGAACAGGAGAGGAGCAGAGAGAGAGACACAGAATCCAAGGCAGGCTCCAGACTCTGAGCCGTTAGCACAGAGCCCAAAGTGGGGATCAAACCCGCGAATCACGCGATCGTGACCTCAGCTGAAGTCAGACACCCAACCAACTGAGCCACCCAGGCATCCCAATACAACTTTCTTTTAAGATTCAAGCAACACCCAGGGCCAGAAGATCTGTTCTGAAGATGGTTCACTCATAGGGCTGGCCAGTTGGTGCTGGCTGTTGCTAAGTACATAGAATAAAATGTGGAAATGCCCATTTCCTTTCTCTCCCCCACTGTAAGAGCCACTCACCCTTTTCTAAGTGTACATATAAATATGTGCCTCTAAGCACCCCTCCCCATTACACAGGATTTTAAACATAAATGTGATTATATTACCTATGCGTATTAGTTGGAGATTAACTTTTTCAGTGAATGAGGCTTATCTCAGTCTACTTAACAGTTGCCCAGGATTCCGTAGTATGGTCATACCATCAATAACCAATCTTGCCGTGGATGCTGTGGTTTGCCACCTCGATCCCCCTTTCAGGACTGAGGCATTCAGTCTTCCAGCTAGCACTGGAGGTTGAGGTATCGGGCTGAACTGCCTTCAGCCAAAGAGGTTTGCCTAGGCCAAGTTTGGGCCAATTCCCAGCAGCAGCCCCTGTGGGACTGGCCGAGGTCTCTTTTCCTCTGCCCAGGCCTACTTCCTTCATTTCCCCATAGATGTTGATTCCAAGGGCATTCCCTAATAAGTGTCCTACACTCACAACTTCACCTCAGAGTCCGTTTCCTGAGGAATGCAACCTTCGACACGCATTAACAGACACTTCAAGGTCATTTTCATTTTTTCACTGTTACAGTGTCACAGACTCCAAATGTGCAAGTATTTCTTTAGAACAGATTTCTAGAAGAGGTAATGCAGGACCAAAGGGAACATTTAAAATGATAGCAGATATTGCCATATTGCCCTCCAAATGGCCTTACTAATTTGCACTCCAAAGTGATTACTTTTCTAGAACTTTTATTTTTATTTATTTTAAAAATCTTATTTATTTATTTACTTTTTATTTTGAGAGAGAAAGAGAGAGAGAGAGAATGAGTGTGGGAGTGACAGAGAGAGAGGGAGAGAATCCCAAGCAGGTTCCTTGCTGTCAGTGCAGAGCCCAATGTGGGGCTCGACCTCACGAACCGTGAGATCGTGACCTGAGCCGAAATGCAGAGTCAGATACTTAACTGACTGAGCCACCCAGGTGTCCCTAGAACTGTTATTTTTAAATAAACACAAAAAGCTTGAGGTTGGTTTGTCAGATGAGAAACTGGGGAAAGCCTCCCACGTGATGGTGGTGAGGACAACGAAGAACGATGAGTAACATTTATGTTATGACCTGCCTGCTCTGTGCTGGTTACTCTGCCAAGGCCTCTACCTAGATTTGCTACTTAATCTTCACAACAAGCCTGTGAGGCTTGGAGAAGTTAAGCATTTGCTCAAGTTCATGTACAAGTGGTGGGGCCCAGACTGCATCCTGGATAAGTCTGACTCCAAAGAATTAACTTATCCACAATGCTATCAGCCTCCGAGACAGCCTCCAATTGCACATTTCATTTGGAGTTCTAACAAACTACAAGATCTGGAGCCACGAAACTAGAAAGAAAGCTCTGTGAGCCCCACAGTGGCAGAGATGTCTTACCTATATTGCTGTCCCTGATACTAAGATTTAACATATATGCATCTTTATATAAAATAATACTGGATAATATTGCTGGATCATTGGGGATTTAAAGGCAGGAAAAGGGAAGGGAAAGCCTCCCTCCTACGCAGGGCTATGCACTTGACCATGTACTCAGGGCATTCAATTAACTGCTTAGGGCTGAGCTATGGAACGTATGGAAAACAACGTTGAAAGAAATAACACATATAGAAAATGAAAGAAACCTAGGGATGGAAAAAATTAGAGAGATCTCAAATGAGTGAAGGAGGACAAATAAAACATCTGTACTTAAATGTTTAAAATAGTCTTAAGGGCTATTTTGGTTAAGTGTCTGACTCTTGATCTCGGCTCAGGTTATGATGTCATGGTTCAGTAGGTTGAGCCCCATGTTGGACTCCGGGCTGACAGCGCAGAACCTGCTTGGGATTCTCACTCTCTGCCCTTCTGCTACTGACACAGGCGCGTACACACACACACACACACACACACACACACACACACTCCCTCTCTCTCAAAATAAATAAATAAACTTTAAAACAGGCTTTCACTATTAAATTATTCAACAAAGGCAGTGGAAAGGTAAAAGAAAAAGACAGCTGTGGTCATTTGGAATAAAAATCAAGTTGTAAAATAAATATGAAAGGCGGATATTGTTCAGAAAGTGAACCAAAAAATAAAACTGTCCCCCCCCCCAAGCTGGAGGAGGGGGGGGTTTGAAGAATTTGGGAACCAGCCACCAGTTCTGGCTTACATAGGACTAAATGACAAAGTTCCGGATAACTTTGAGGTATTCTGGAGAGAAACACATTTTATGAGTTAGTGGAGGGGATTATATCATAGCTTTCTGCTTCTAATAGCTATTGAATAATCAGAGTGTTAACAGAGTGCTTACTATGTGCTAGGCCATAGGTCAAGCGACTGGTTTTGAACTTCACAAACATCTCTTATGCTCAGATATACAGATCTATGTGTAAGGAGTTGATCAGATACACTGTAATTTATTTACTCATTCCCCTATTAACAGTCTTTAGGTTGTTTTTAATTGTTTTAAAATACAGCAGTAAGCACACCGCATGCATTTCTTTCATGGTCACAATTACCGAGGCTAGCATCTACCATGTTAAAAAAAAAATAAAAGATTGGTTTTATTTAATCTTTACCCCAACTGTCCTATTGTTCCCATTTTACAAATGAGTAAGCATTTGTAGTAACTTGCTCAGGAGCACACAGCTTGATTGGAGGCAGAGCTAGAATTCAAACTCAAGACAGCACATTTCCTGAGTCCAAATTCCTAAACTCTCTGTTCTCTTGAAATACTCTAGCTGCTGACACAACCAAACAAGCTTTTGCATCACCAGCCAGGGAGCGTGACTGGGATTCATGACCCATAAGCTTCCCTTGTCTTCCTTGGTAATAGATGATATTCCCTTAAGACACGTGAGACATTTACTTTTAATAATTGAAGTTCGCCAAGCCTGATTTAAATTAGGAAAGGTTGATGAAAAGTTACAGGCAAAACAGACGTACAAACAGCATTGGAAACCAAAACCACCTCCAAAAATAAACCCAACAAAATTTTTTATAAATTAAAATTTTGACCTTCTACATGATTCTAAAACACTTACTAAATATATTTTAGGAGTATGTTGGATGGTAAGAGTAAAAACAATAGAACCCTTCAATCAGTATTTAATTAAAAGTGAAGAGAATTTCATTGAGTTAAGCTAGTAACTGGAAATGACCTCCACTTTTAATCTAAAGCATACTATTTACTTTGATTTAGAATGTTAGAAAGCCATTTAATCTCGTTCTCAATTTCTTTCTCTGTTCCGTACTGATATAATTTGGAGTTGTGGGGAAATTAATAAGAACACACACAGAAGTCAAATAGTTATTTGAATTAATGCTGCCTGACAGCATTTTCTCTTTTCTTTGGTGCTAAATTATAGTACTGAGCTGCATTTAATCATTTTTAATCAAATATAAAACATATTTTATAAAAAATTCTCCAGAATTAATATTATCAGGTCTACCATCACTTTCTACTTTTATCCTCACTTCTCCTGGTCCTATTCAAGATCCATGCTGACTTCTAAATCTCTCAATATCACTAGATATATCAAAATTATAGTTACAGTTTCAGTTTTGAATAGATTCCAGCCAGTTCACAACATACGTACATGCACACACACGCGCGCGTGCACACACACACACGCACACACACACACACACCTGAGTCCTCTATAGATAGAAAAGAAATAATGTGAAGAACTATTTTTCCATTACCACAGCTGATGAATAAAGGGATCGACATAATAACTATGCAAAAATGGCTAATTCCCTCTTCTAAAACCAAAGAAAATTTTAATCAAGAGCATTTTTTAAAAATGTTCAATCTTTGAGGTTATTAGGTATTTTATAGTCAATTGTATATTGTTCCTTAGTAAATGAGTCTGCTTATAAACTGTCACATTCCTATCAAAATAAATCCAGCATATGCTCATTTCTATTTGAAAAGGAGGAGGTAATTCTTTACAAGAAAGATTCTTTGCTTTAGAATACGTCTTGTAGGAATTACTGTACAGGTAATTTGTTTGTGAAGGTTAAAATATGACCCAGTTTATATATGACTTTTCAGGAACATATTATTTCATAACATATGATATTTAGTGTTTTTAGAGGCAAACTTGCAGAAAACAAAGCAAAAGCTAAAACATTAGAATTGGTTTCAAAAAAAGTACTGAAAACCTAAGTGTTTTGGTAATATTCTATAGGAGTAAGTATTATTTCATCATGTTAACAGAGCAAAGTAAAATGATATCCAACCAGGCAGCTTAGATTCAATTCATCTGCTGTAACTTTTATAGAGATTAAAGTATATAATAAACATTCTACTACTAAGTTTATAGAAAATGAAAGCTTTAGGTGTGAAATATTATCTACTATCTTTATAAATGAAAGATAAAAATATAAAGAGACACCTCTCTCTTTAAATAGCATGTCCATTTTAAGGTTTATTGAAAGTAGATGTCTCTAATATTCTGTTCTTATTAATTTAGAACAGAATAGGTTGTACTAGGTCAGAATTTAAAACTAATTCACTTTTATTCCCTTCATCTGGTAGCTCAAGATAGCTATTTAAAATGCAACATTTAATTAAAAAGGGAAGTCGATAGTCTACACGAGTCTTTTCAAAAATAAACTTGAGCTGCCATCTCAGTTTCTAACACATAAGCTCTTCCTTGGGAATAGCTATGCACTTTGTGGTCTTCATTAACCCTTTCATCTTAGCTATGAAATCGTTTCAATGAAATAGTGAAATTATTTCACTCAGTAAATTACAGTGCTGAACAACTTCACTGAGGGACTAATTTATATAACTAAGGAGGGTGGTTTTACAAGTGTAATCTAAGGAACCCACGGTGTCACATTTTCTTTTTTCTTCCTTTCTGAAGTTCTGGCCAAGAAAGAGATAACATTTTAAGGTTGCTTCCTGGATTTAGTTTGGTCTCAGGATGGCTGAAGGGCTTATAGTTCACATCTGTCACAAACATTTCTAGAAATTCCTTTAATGTATCTTGTTTTTCATTTTCAAATTTTGTTCTCATGCTTCACTGTGAATTTCCAGGCAATTAAAAAGATGGATGCTACCACTCCAAATCACTCTTCTGGAGAATGAGAAAAGTCAATGTAGCTGCAGACTTAAAGGGAGCGGACTATCTACTGGGGAAATATTGGCCATTTTGTATTTCCTTAGAACTTACTGCTCTCACGTGTTCATCATCATGGAGAACAACCTTCATTGTACTTGCCACTGACTGTACCTTTCACTTCCAAGATCACATACATACCTGCTTCCACACACAGTTGCGATGGCTTTGAAGCAGCCGGATGCAAGCTGGTAGGAACCTGTGTAGCATCGGTCAATCGCCCAATTAAAAAGATTGATTTGGTCAGGATTAAGTTCCAATAGCAAGACGACAACTTCACAGCCAAGCTGATGAACCTGAATACATGGAGAAAAGCAATTATTCATGTCTAGTGAAAGATTATTCCAGAGAAAGAAACAAAATCATGCCTACCCAATATAAAGTGGGGAACATGAAAGTGGAGACTGTGTATTCATCTTAGTTTTCTTTTAAAGACTTTATTTTTAAGTAATCTCTACACGTGGGGCTCAAACTTACAACCCCGAGATCAAGAGTTGTGCGCTCTACAGACTGAACCAGCCAGGAGTCCCTTTATCTTAATTTTTATTCCATATATTTTACTTTAAGAGGATGCGATGTTGCAACTGAATATTGAAATGTATGTATAAACCAAATTTGACTCTGTGTAAATCCGTCAGACAGGGTCCACTCCTTCTTGATTTTTAATTCTGAAAAGATAATGAAGACTGTTGGCAATGTTTCTTCGTTGTATTTAAAATATTTTTTTTTAATTTTTTTTTCAACGTTTATTTATTTTTGGGACAGAGAGAGACAGAGCATGAATGGGGGAGGGGCAGAGAGAGAGGGAGACACAGAATCGGAAACAGGCTCCAGGCTCTGAGCCATCAGCCCAGAGCCTGACGCGGGGCTCGAACTCACAGACCGCGAGATCTTGACCTGGCTGAAGTCGGACGCTTAACCGACTGCGCCACCCAGGCGCCCCTAAAATATTTTTGAAAAGTACACGTATTTGGTTGAAAATTAAATATACAAAAGGATGGCCTTTATGCATGCAAGTCTTTTGAGGAAAAAAATCAGAATATGTTTATGGGGCTTGATTACTAAATATACCATGTAAAATTTAGCTGGCAATATTTTAAAAAGAAATGTAGTATTAATAAACTCTTCTAAATCAGAGACTTCCATATGAAACAATCATCATACTAGATAGAATTAATGAGATCCTTTATTGACGGTTCTGGAAGCTACTGTCAAATACTGGATGGTCACATCTGTCCATGAGAAGCCTAGTGCATGGAGGCCATAGTCCCCTAAGAAAGTAACATTTTCCTGTTTCCTTCTGTTTCCTTCTCTTGCCAGTTGCAACTAGGGGGATAAGAAAAGATTCTGGTGTTTTTTGTTTTTTTTTTCTAACCACAGGGTATGGGCTAAGATGGGAGTAATATTCTAGTTGGATGGTTGAACATCATCAACCTAGTTCCCCACAGGCTTAAGTAATTAGCAGCAGATAAAAGTTAATGACACTATTAAAAAGGACTTAAAAATACCATTTCATTAAAAAGTTGGTTCGACTTGAAAGAAAATCAGCAAGTTTTTAATTGAGCTTTAGAAACTTTATATTGAAGCATAAGATACATAGTATGCAATTAATTCATAAGTAAATGATGAGTTACTGTAACTGAACACGCCAAAGTGAACACAGGAAGTAGAACACCAGATTGATTTCCTGTACCACAGAAGCCTGCCTTATGCATTGTCCTAATCACTAGCCTCTCTCTTCTTTTCCAAAGTAACCACTATTCTGACTTCTACAACTGTTGGTTCGTTTGGGCTGTTTTGAACTGTATGCAAATGGAATTATATTGCCTATAATTTTGTGTGTTTTCTTGAACACAACTCATGTTTGAGAAGCATCTATATTCACTCATTTTCACTGTTACATTCTAACATATCTTTATTTCACAATGTATTCATTCTATATTGACAGACATCTGGGTTGTTTCCAGCTTTTGCCTTCATAATACTGCTTTGAACAATTTTGTACATGTCATATGTTGCACGCACTGGAAACTTATTTTATAAAATATATATTTGAGTAAAACTGCTGGGTTTTAGGGCGTACTATGTTCAACTTTAGTATATAATGACAGTCAGGTTTCCGAGGTGGTTATGTGGATTTCCACTCTCTGTAGCATTGTGTGAGAGTTCCTGTTGTTCTATTTCCCCATCAACATTGTCAGTCTTTTTAGTTTTCACCATTCTGGTGGATTTGAGGTAGCATCTCCTGTCGTTAGTTTGCATCTCTCTAATTACTAATGAGCTTGAGAAACTATTCTTATGTTTATTGGCCAAATAACCTCTTTTGTAAATTTCTTTTTTTTTTTTTTTAATTTTTCTTTTTTCAACATTTATTTATTTTTGGGACAGAGAGAGACAGAGCATGAACGGGGGAGGGGCAGAGAAAGAGGGAGACACAGAATCGGAAACAGGCTCCAAGCTCTGAGCCATCAGCCCAGAGCCTGACGCGGGGCTCAAACTCACAGACCGCGAGATCGTGACCTGGCTGAAGTCGGATGCTTAACCGACTGCGCCACCCAGGCGCCCCTGTAAATTCCTTTTTTTAAGTCACTTGCTTATTTTTCTATGAATGTCTTTATCTAATTATCTGTAGGGATCCTTAATATACTCTAGATAAGAAGTGTTGGTTTTATGGTGCAAACATCTTTCACTCTGTGGCTAGCCTGTTCACACTTAATGATGTCTTTGGTGAAGTTATTAATTGGTCTTTTGTTACAATCAGTAATTTTGGCATCCTGTGTAAGAAATCTGGCCCTGGCCCCAGGGATTAAGATATCCTCCTGTATTTTCTAGAAACGTCAGTCTTTCAGCTTTCACATTTATATCTATAATCTAATTTCTTCTTTTCATTCCTGATGTCTTATTTTTTCTTTCCCAGTGCATTGACTAGGATCTTTAGTATAATGTTGATAGAACTGGTGAAGGTGAGCATTCTAATCTCAGAGAATACTTTCAATATTCACTATACGGTATGATTTTTATTATAGGTTTTTTTTCCTCAAACACCCTTTATCAAACTAAGAATATTCTTTTTTATTCTTAATTTTGATAGGAGTTTCTCTCATAAATAAATGTAGAATTTTATTAAATGCTTTTTCTGCTTCTATTGAGATGTTTGTGTATTTCCTTCTTGAGACTCTATTAATATAATTAACATACTAAGGAGTTGACGGATATTTGAATATTGAACCAATCTTGCAGTTCTTAAAAAATGCCAATTTGATCATGATGAATCATCTTTTTATATATCACTAAATTTGATTTTCTTATATTTTGTTTACATTTTTGTATCTATACTCTTGAATAAAATTGCCTCTTAATTTTTTTTATCCTGTTAAATCCCTGGCAGGTTTTAGTATCAAGGTTATGCTGGTCTCATAAAATATTTCCTCTTGCGCTGTTTTCTAAGGATTTTGTTTATAATCAACGCAATTTGCTCCTTAAATGTTAAATTCATCAGTAAAGCTATCCAAAGTTTTCCTCGTGAGAAGACTTTGAATTACAGATAAAATTTATTTATTACCTATAAATTCTATATCATTGATTCACTGCTCTGCTTCATCCATCCTAACCATCATGGCATCCATTCGAGATTGTATGTTGGTTGTAGCATTTTTAATTTCGGCCTGATTACATTTTAATTCTTCTATCTCCGCAGAAAGGGATTCTCTGGTGTCTTCTATGCTTTTTTTCAACCCCAGCTAGTATTCTTATAATTGTGGTTTTAAATTCTAGTTCAGACATCTTAATTTTATCTGTGTTGATTAAATCCCTGGCCATCATTTCTTCATCTTTTCATTTTTGAGGAAGAAAAATAATTAATAAAATAAAATAAAAAATAAAAATAAAAATATTAAAAAGAAACCAGAACAAAATCAAAGGAAGTTAGATCTTAGGTGTGTTTCGGTCTGCTTGTTGAGAGATGCTACCAGAATTTCTTGCTCATGTTTATTACTTAAATGACTATTCAGATTTTTCTTTTCTTCTAGGGTTGTGTTTTTTTGGGAATTTCTCTATTTTATTTAAATTTTCAGGTTTATTGGCACAAAATGTTCATATATTCTCCTTTATTTTCAACATCGACCATTTGTAGGGATGTCTCCTTAATATTTCTGATGTTAGTGAGACATGTGCCTTCTCTCTTTCTTGATCAGACTTGCCAGGAATTAATTTTAGTAGTCATAATAAATTCAACTTTTGGCTTAAATTATCATTTCTATTTTTTCTCTTTCATTAATTTGTGCTTTCATCTCTATTATTCCCTTCATTGTACTTGTTTTCAGTTTAATATGCTATTCTTTTTATAACGTCTTGAGATGGATGCTTAGGTCATTGGTTATCAGCCTTTTTTTTCTTTCTCAAATATACACTTAAGGCTATACATTTCATTCTAAGCACAGCTTTATTTACAGCCCACAAGTTTAGTATATATTATTTTTGTTATTCTTCAGTTAAAGGTATTTTTTAGGTTCTATTGTAATTTGTTCTTTGACTCACTAGTTACCTGGAAGGGTGTTTTTTAATTATATTTTTATTATTGATTACTAGCTTATTATCACTGTGATTAGAGAAATAGTCTGTGTCATTTCAATCCTATGAACTTCACAGAAACTTGTTTTAGGGCCCAGTTTATAGTCAACTTTGGTGAATACTTTTTTTTTTTTTTAAATTCTGATGCATCATAGTGTAATATGAATAACACAAAAACCTATACTTCTGTGGCTGATACATGCAGAGATTGTGCTGTGAACAATGCTTCTACACTCTAGTAACCTGATCAGGTAGAACACCCAAGACATTTAAAAGCAATGTATTTTTGGCTAATACTTACTCGTAAATCTTGACAAGCCAGAATGTTGTCAAGCCACTTATATAGGTAGCCATCGGGGGAAAGGCCCACATTGTCAAACACAGGGCCACAACACAACACTGCTGACATTGCCTGATAACAAAACAACCAAATGTGTGAATGAAACTTGGAATGATCTAATAACATGCAAGCGACTTCACAAAATGTAACTACCAGATTTATAGGTGATGAGGGTCTTTTAAAGCAGTTCTTACCATAATATTTTAAAGTATTCCTTACTAGATTCAATAAGAAGGACCAGATTCCCAATTTTGGATTTTTAAATAAGAATTAAAAGCCATAAATTTAACTCCACGGACATATAATTTTATGATTAAACAAATCTTTACGACAAAAGAGTAAGATACTCAAAACAAAATGGCCATTTCACAGTATTTATACTTACCTTCCATGATTTCAAGTGAATAAATTCTGCTTGTAAGGTAAATACAGCTTTTCAAATTTTGCTTTGATGACAAATATTTAACCAATGTACTAAATTGACAAACTATGAAAAATGTGGAAATAAATAACATGATTCTTAATCAAAGGAAAAAAATTAAGAATATAAATTTAGCTACTCTGAGGAGGAGAGGAAGCAAGGGAATGTAAGAATGATTAACTTTGTAATTACCAAGTCCAAATGACTATGAGGGCCATGGTTTAAATCAGCTAGCTCCATTGAGGCAAAAGTCAACTGGTACGTCATCAAACTTCCATATATATGACAGAATTGAAACAGTTTTCTAAAGGTAATTAGGCTGCAAGGAATCATGCTTCTGAAGTTTTGGAACAGTTAGTAGTGTGGAAATTTATTTTTGGAAGTGTTTTAAAATGGAAGACTAAAAAGGGAATGTGGCTCTTGGTTGGTTCTGAACTTGAGGTAACATATATATCTTTTTTAGGTTGTATGTTAATGGACAAGGCAGCTACTAACAGGGTAAATAAGCAAATCTGTATGGTTCTCATACACTAGATAAAAGTAAGAGCTGGGACAAGTTTTGTATTTTGAAACCCAAACCACAACCCAGTTGAGAAACCAACTGGAGTATTTACATATTTATACACAGCCATCTATCTATGGGGAAAGAGACCATTGGGCCAACGTAAGTCATCCACTGAGACAAAGGTGCCCTACCTTTAATGCGCAATACTGGTATCGTGTAATTTGATGATTTCTATCACTGTAGCGGTCGAGAGGGGTGAACATAATGCTGAAGGGTCCTGCCCACTGGCTAAACAAGATGAAAAGATGATGCCTCAGGCTTTGCTGGGGGAACAGAAATCTTCGGTGGTGAACTGGAGAGAAAAACAGACTTAGGAGTTGGCTTGACTAAAAAGTATAGTGAATACACTTTATGTCACTATTATACATAATTCCTATGTTCTGAGGAAAGCAGTAATTTCATTTCCTAACTCGAGTCTTCTGTAATGAAACATGGATTTAAGAAGTCAAGCCTCATTTTCTCTCTACATGTGTGGTCTTCCTGTTCCTCACGCTGCAGTCAATGGCACCTTGTCCAGAGCGGGAAGCAGAGGAAAAAGTGGACTCACAGACCCTGCTTTCTAATCAATGTCTAGCAAAACTGCAACCCCTTCCACTCAGTTACTGATTACATATCAAACATCCTCTCAACTGCTGCTGCCTGTGAAATACAATGTATATACTGTCTATTTTAAACAAACATATTTTAGCTGAAGAAGTAAACTGAAATCTTAATTTAGGGTCATCTAAGATGAGGAACATTGGCAAGAAAAAGGTTTTACAATCTCAAAACAATGAAAAGGTAGAAACAGTTGAGTTGTGGCTTTTTGTAATTATGTCAAAACTTTTTTTTTTAAGTTTATTCATTGAGAGAGAGAGAGAGAGAGAGCGAGCATGCAAGCAGGGGAGGGGCAGAGAGAAAGGGAGACAGAAAATCCCAAGCAGACTCTGCACTGTCAGAGCAGAGCCCAATGTGGGGCTCGAACTCACAAACCATGAGATCATGACCGGAGCAAAATCAAAAGTCAGTCGCCTAACTGACTGAGCCACCAGGCGCTCCATATGTCACAACTTTTAATTACAGCAATTAATTTTTACACCAAACTGGCCAGCTATTTTTATTCTCCATGCTTTTATTAGATGAAAAGTTTTCATACCCATACCCACAGTTTGCTCTGTGCAAAAACCTCTCAATAATCTAATTTATTAGCTGTATAGAATGTGTTGATCGGAGAGGGAAGAGAAGGCATACTGTGGAGACGGATCACATGTTCACAGGTTAGCACAATAAGAAGAAGAAATGAAATAATTCAGCTCCCCCTGAATTATTTCCTTCCTATGAATTACATAGATTCATTTTTAGATGGGAACCAAAACAAAGAATAGAAATAATGACAAGAACAAAGCCAAATTTCATTCCTATTGTTCCCTTTCCAACTCTGTGCTGAATTACCACAATCTGTTCTTATGTGTATTTCCAAGTATTTCAAAGTAAATGAATGATCCCATCTAAGACCTGCACACAGGCCAGTAGGATTAAAGAGGAAAAGCCCAGTAATGAGAAACACAAACGGTCTGTCAGGCATGAAAGGAAATCCGCAGTGATGCATCCCTGTACCTGGAACACACTGAATCAAGTTGGCGACCATCGCACTAAAATGTGCCCGGATATCTTTAAGAATTTCAACTTCTTTATCATTTTCGGCTTCTAGAAGCATGCGGGTCAGGTCCACATATTCTAAGAACAAAGCTCCAAGGGCTAACGTATCCCGTTCCAAGGCTCCATTTGTGCTGGAATAATAAAAAAGAAATAAAGCTTTTAGATGACTGGTCTTTACATCAAAGTAGTACATGCTTCATGGAAAATAAGATTCACTGTCAGAACTCACACACTAAATTTGTTCTTGACCTACGGGCAGTATAAATCGAATATGCACAAAAACAACAATACGCTTTTTTGGACGTTTCTGAGTAAAAGTTAAAGGTAACATATTAAAAAAAACAAAAGAAAGAAAGACAGAAAGAAAAAAAAGACAAAAAGACCAGTTTGGTGAGGAGAGATCAACTCATTAGAATCTTCAGTTTACCTGTCACTTATGACACCAGCATCAGCCAGAAGCTCGAAAATTCGAAGTAGCTGTAGCCTTAACAAATCCCGCCGTTCTCGGCGTTTTTTGTTCTGTGTAGAAAAAGGTAATACCATTTATGAATGTAGGCAAAACAATAACTTTGCTCTGAGAAACTGTATTAAAGAAAGGCATAATCTAGACATGACTTTTCATATTTTTGAGAGAGAAAGAGGGTACAAGCTGGGGAGGCACAGAGAGAGAGGCAGACACAGTATCCAAAGCAGGCTCCAGGCTCTGAGCTGTTGGCACAGACCCCGATGTGGGCTTGAACCCACAAACTGAAATCATGACCTGAGTCGAAGTCAGATGCTTAACTGACTGAGCCACCCAGGTGCCCCTGGGTTTTCAATCTTCTAAACACAAAAGACAAGGGTGTTTTTCTTTCTTCTAGATCCTTAGAGAAAATCTTGCTATTATAGGCTATAAAAGAAACAGATCCTAAGTGGGTCAGTAAATATTTATAAGGTGGCAACGTTGAGAACTAACCAGCCTCAGTTCCTAGATGCTTCTGGCATCTATGGAAAGACAGAGGCATGGAAACAAGAAAGGGCTAGTCGACACGAAGAATCTCACCAATTCTGGTCATTCTAAGTCACACTGCTAAAATTTTTGCTACGTCTTGTATCTTATCTACTATATGGGAACTTCTTTTTCCATCTTCTTCTTCTTTTTTTTTTTTTTATCCTGCTGTGTATAAATTTGTCCTTTCCAGAGTTCACTTCAGGAAAGATAATTTTGAAGAAAATCCTTCCTATGCCAGATCAAACAAATAATATTCTTGACCATTCAACTCCTCGTAAAAAATAAGCAAACCAACAAAAACATTCAATCAACTCAAACCTCCTACAAAAGAATGTAGTATTTTAACATGCATGTGACCATTTAGATTGTTTGCCTTCATGAGTTTAGAACACAGAATCTTTTAACAGAGGAACCGTATTATGCTAAATATTCAAATACTGAACAATAATAAAAATAACAGAAGTTAAAATATTAAGATTCACTATTAAAAGCAGGCTGGGTGTTTGTATTGTTTTTTTTTTTTTTTTTTTAGGGGAAACCATTAAGTACGATCTAAATTTATAACGTTGACCACAAGAACGGAGGTATGAAGTATTTAAATTAAAAATATTACCTCTGGTCTTCGTTCCAGGGCTTCTTTCATTAATGGATGGAGTTCTTCCACCAACTCTCTATGGAGATAAAGGTTGGCATTTGAAATTCACTATTATCGACACCAAGTTTATCACCAAATACATGCATTTAGTCCTAAACCATGTTCTTTTCTCATTTTGCTTCTGACATCAACCGCCCCCTGGCCTTTCCGTTTCTTAGTCACGTGGGGAACTGGAACTAGGTGTTGGCCTGTACTTTGTGTTACTGGTCATTATCCCAGTGTTATGTATATAATTTGGGCTCAATGCATGTCTGTTGACTTGATTCTGATTTACTGTTCTGGAAACCCTGATGTTTAAAATCCCCCTCTAAACAGTTAAACAAACAATGTATTACAAGTGGTGACTACATTCAAAGCACTTTACTAGGGGCAGTGGGGATGAAGATAAAATCGAGTCCTTCACAGAAGACATTTTCAGCTTTACCCATCCCCACGATCTCCAGTTCTCAACTAATTATTTGTGTTCTTTGGGAAATAACTTCTGAACTGCTATGTCAAGACAGACAAATTAGAAGAGCTAGCCTGTGGCTAGGTATTTTGTGTATAGTCTGTCTGTTCGATGCCTGAACACCTTGCAATATTCTGCAGTCTTCCGGTGGGATAATTTGTGCTCTTAGACATCATCCTCCAGGGAAATCCAAAGTTAGGAAGGTAAACTTTGCGGCATTCTGTGCTGAGAGACAGAACACTTGGACTCCATTTCAGATTTCTCTAGCACAGATGCTAGAATTTCTTCATCAAAGAAATGGAAATAATATTAATGACCTCCTTCAACTGCAACCATTTACTGAATATTTATTACATACATTTTTACATTTAATCCTCTCAATAAATATGTAAGATAGATTTTATAATTATAACAATTTTTCTTTTTTTATTAGATAGATATACTTCATTTTTATTTATTATAACAGTTTTACAGGTAAGGGAACTGAGGCCCAGAGACATTAAGTTTTCCGGACCCATGTGGCTAATAAATTGCACAATCTTACCCACCCCTAGGAATACTGAGAGGGCAAGATGTACGAGAACATATGTCCTTGGGAAAGAATGTTAGTTTCTTAGGTTCTTTGGGAAAGAATGTTAGGTTATTCCAGGAATTGTTTTCTTATCTTCTTGTAGTATATCTACGTGATTCTTTGTCTTAACTAGTTAACTAGTAAGTAGTAAAAACACTGGTGAGCTGACACTCCAGTATCAGAACTCACAATTACTTTTTATGAGAATAAAATCTGACTCTATACATGAACAACGTAACAGATTTTTTTTCCAATTGCCTCTAAAATGTCTCATTAATCTTTAGTTTTCGAATAGGGTCTCTGGCAGATGCTTAGAGCTTTCCCTTTTCTCTCTACATAAAAAACTTGGGAATTTTACTGGGGCTTATATGCTTAGCTCAAGTCACCAGAGACAGCCCGAACTAATATTTTATGATGACTCTTTCAAAAGGCTTTGACACTGCCTCAGATGGAACGGTTATTTGATTAAAGGTGTCAAATGAGCCAAGAATCCGAGATATGATGGTTCTATTAAGGCAGATAAAACACCTTCTGAAAAGATCGACTAGTGTAACAGAATACCCTTGAAAGAGTTCTATCAGTGCTTAGCCTTTGAGATCTGTTGCGTAAATGGCTGATGAGCAGACCTCATTGTTTTGACATGAAAGCCTCTGAACAGTCTGGCTCTCTGGTGATGGACACTGAATTACCTTCACTTACAGCTATCTAAAACCAATCTTGCAAACGAGATAAAATCTGAGATGGAAAATCAAAGCCGCAAAGGCGAAAGGGGAAAAGCGAGGCGGCGGTGAGAAACGCTGGCTACATGCACGTCAAACCACGAGGACACAAAGGAAATGGCACAAAGCCTATAAACCCCCCCAGGCACATGCCAACACGCAGACTCAAACTTGAGTTAAAAACAGGAACTACGACAACAGCAGTAGGAACGAATTTAGAGCAACTCATTGAGACTACCGTACCTGAAAACAAGGGAATTTGTTCTTCCAAATCCTAAAACTAAGGACTCTGTGATCTCAATGCCCTCTAGTCTCATCAAAGGCACCAACTGCTTTAACAGAACTCCCACCGATGGGGTGCCTATGGCCTGAAACAAGTTGATTAAAAGTGAAAAAGAGGTAACATGATAACCGATGCTTCCTTTAATCAAAGGATGATTCCATTATAACAGTTTCAAAGTACTAAACCACGTCCCAAAGCACTGCCATCATTTCAGAGAGAAAAAAAACAAAGACAGACATAAATTTTAATACAGCACCATGAATGCATTTTTTACCTGGGACACAAATCCTAAAGAATACTTTTATTATGTCTTCCTTTTTTAAAATTAAATCTACAAACCCATTCTTAACAAGATCATGTCATGGAGGCATCGTTTCAAGGAGAATACTCGGCAAGGAGTGAGAGAAATGTGGTATGCAGGGCAGGAACCAAACCTCAGGGCATAATAAATGAATAAACCTCAGGGCACTCTATGGTCTTAACCAAGTTTCTTAACTTCTCTTAATCTTCAGTTCCCCACTTGTCAGGGAGGACTAATAAATTATGCACGTCAACACTCAATGGAATTTAGAAATGTGTACGATGAAAATCTGATCCCATACACTCCAGATGGCAGGCACAGTGCGACGTGCACTGTGAACTCTAGACAAACAAGCTAAAAAAAAACCTTACAGAATAATTCTTCTGAAGCATGTCACGTCACCTTGTTATCGTAGCTCACTGTACCATCAGGTGTGGTCGCCATTATTTCTGGAGTGGAAGCTCTTAAGTGTCCCGGGCTCATAATACTGGGTTTTGCAACTCCAAAACAAAGAATAAGGTAGTTTCTCCACAAGGTAACATAATTATCTCCACTGCCGGCGGTGCTGGTTTTCTTGGCATTAATTGGGCTACTGGAAGTACGGAGTTGAAAACAAGAGTGAAACTAAGTTCTGCATTTTAAATATCGCTTGTTAAATAAAGACCCTAGGAAGTGCCCAAACACAGTTGACCTCCCAAACAAACTAGTGCTAGGTAAGAGTTTTTGACTGGCTTTTATTCAATATTAAGAATTCTGTATTAGGAAGAGCAGAAACCAGAGAGGATTATAATATGCCAATCTTTTAGATAACATGTAAATGTAAGAGGGCAAAAATGATAAACAAAAGAGGAAAACCCAGTTCTCTTACTTTGGGTCAACCAGAGGCATGACCGACTGGAGCCGAGTGAAGGCGTACGGCCAGGCGTAGCTGAGGGCTGTGGGGCAGTGTTTGGGCAAGTTCTCCTGCCGGAGGAAACTGAAGAGGCAGAGGACCCAGGGGTCTTTGACAGACTGAGCGAATATCCAGACATGGGAAGGGCTCTTCACATCGTAATGGCTATTGACCAGGACTGCATTCCACTCCACCAACCACTGCAGATCCACACTGTGGGTCAGCGGTAATGTGGCCTGTGGGTCCAAGAAGTAGGCAATGAATCAATGCTGCACTGCAAATTACACGTCCCCACCACGGCTGGGTCTAAATGCCCCTTCGTCCACAGTGCTCTTCCTGATTACCTCCTGCGACGGGCCAAGCTTTGAATCTGAAACACCCCTCCTGCTCCTGCCACATAGGATGCCCATTTGTAGCCACTGCTGTTTCTGATGCAAGACTGAAAGCAGTTCAAGTGCAGGGCTCAAGGACACACGTCATATTTTGAACAGTTTTAATGGCACATAGCACTGTGCATTAGTACACCCAACTGCTCACCGAATATTTATTGAAAAATATATGGCCTGGGTTAAACTTGATCATGGATTTGCCATTGAAAATTCTTAAAAGTTATTAACTTCTAAGATTCACAAACGTGTTTTTCATCCCTGTCTTGGTAGTGTGGGCCTTTTAATGCCATAATCTTGTTTACCTCTACTTAGACTAAAATACCTTCCCTCTGATTTAGGGAGATGGCTGAATGCAGTCCCTTTTATGAAGGGCATTTCACTGATGGTTTTGAGGTAAGGGACCTACTTATTCTTGACCTATGATATCAAGCCAAAAAAACCAATACGTTTGAAAACTTTTTTGCTGCATATCTCGTGCAAGTTCGTATGTGTCATTCTCTTTTAAGTCCAGAATAGTACAGTTTGGGGAAGACCACATTTCAAATAATCTGGCAGCTGTGCCCAGAGAGAAGATTGCCTTTATGACTGTCGGGCATTTAAAATGACCCGTTCTATCTGATGGGTCTACAGGTTCCCACGGGTCAGGTGCCACACTAGTAGCCTCAATGGTGAGTGGGCTTTAAGGGGGCACATCTTGAGCTTCAGAGTCAGAGAGGAGGTTCCAACAGCACCCCCACTCAGAGTTCATGACCTGGGAAGAGTCCTGAGTATCCCAGAGTCTCTGTCTGGGAGACACGAATTTATAACTTGGGAATTAGAATGCTAATCTCACCTGATCTTTTGGGTAAATTATGTGAGCTAAGGAATGTAGAAACATCTGGAACAAGGCAGGCACATTCTTCTTCTCCCCTTTCTGTGCATCTTCCTAAGTGAGGTATGGCTGCTTTAGCTACCCCTGGCTCAGGATTTTGATTCTGATAGACAGAACAAAATCACATGAACGAAATATAATCTGCCGACAAATAAGATATGTGTATATAACAATTAAACTCAACTCTTCCATTCTATGTTCAAACACATCGAATTTCGGAAAGAAGGACTATTCAATATCACTGTGAAAATCTGTACTGCTGGGCTTACTTGTTTGAATAATGATCATTATTACTACGATCGTAAGCAAGGACAGGGCCACTAAAGGTAAGGATCTGTGCTCAGTCTCAGAGAAAAGACCATGAAAAGCTCACAAACACCTTCAGGCTCTGTATTCATTTATAGCTATTTGTGAAAAATATTTGTATTCGTTTATAGCTATTTGACAATAATATACAAGAGGCATCAGCAATGTGGATTCTGCAACCGGTCCCTGATCTGCACTGCCTCTTTTCAGCTATTTTGCTGAAATTAATCCAGGTCCCCTTACTGCACTATGCTGATTAAAAAAAAAAAAATCAGATAGTTAATATCACTTTCAATTTCCCTTCAAATTTTTTCAGGAAATTAAAGTGTGCCAATATGCTTTTGAAAAAGAAAGAATCTATTTGCATGGCAGATAAGGCTGTCTTAAAGTCAGAGTCCAAGTAGGATCAAGTGCCAGTCCTGATGCTTCTCTCTGTGTCACTATGGTGCTGCCCCTAAATATTTTTGTGTTTAGTACCTATGAGGGTTGAACAAGATAATGTTAAAGCATGCTGTAAACTGTAAGGCACCATATAGAAATTACATACAGTGTTAAGCATAATAAATAAAGAGAATTAACTTTCTTAAAGAATCCTGAGCAATTCTTCTTGAAATTGCAGTTTGCAAAATATTATCTATATTCCCGAGGCTCAAATTTTGTTTGAAATTTATCTGGATGTTTCCTCAGCTAGTATCTGAAAAGCCTGTCTTGTTTTCATAAGTACTGTTGTGTCAGTTTATTAATCTGACATAAAACCCCAGCATTCTGGGGTTTTTTTCTTTGTCTCTCTTTGTCAGATCCAGAGCTTGTGCTTAAGAACAGTTAGGAATCAGGATCAAATGTGTACTTACCGAATCTGAAACTGCTACATGAATGAAACTTTCGAGAATGGAAGAACTTAGCTGATCCATGACATCAATCATAGGTCTGTCATCGTCCTGTATGAAGGGTTGGCAGTTACTCTCCATGGGAAAATGAATCCTTCCCACCCACCCCACTGCCTTTGTTCAGTACACGAAGCAGAACAGCTTGCAAGATAGTGATAAGGGTTTTCTCATGGAAAAGTGAATGCCAAGATGGTGAAATGTGTAGATTAAATTCCCTGTGAGTCTGAGTTTAGTCTTTCAAGTTTCAGTGGAAGATAATTAGAGCTCTAACTTCACAGTGTACTGAAAAGACATATACTTGAATTTCAAAAAATCATGCGTGTACACAAGGATCTAAACAAACACTCGTGCCATACGTCATCCCTCAGAGTGTTCATGCTGTCGTTAATTTTAAGGAATGAAAGCCCCACAAGAATATGCTTTGCCGGACCACTAAAATGCTACATCCATAAGTCACTCATTAGCAAAAATAACTGATAAATTGTTGACTATGATTGAATTTTAGTTCCAAAGAAAGTGCAATGGAGACTGACCACATACTCTGCGGTATCTATGTTGTGTAAGCTATTTAGTAAGAGAAGCAAACTACAGGGGATAGGAGAGAGTATCTTATTGAAAATTCTTCTACACAAATAGCATATATACATATGTATATATATGGATATGTGTATGTTTGCCATCCTTTATTATAGAGAAGCTCAGAAATATCAAATTATTTACTTTTAAAGCCTTCAGGAAAGCCTCGGGTTGTCATTATTCATGTATGAATGAGAATGGTTTCAAAAAAAATTGTGGTTGGAAAAAAAAAAAGCACAAGCTCATAGATTGGACAGATTGGTGGTTTCAGGGTCGGTGAAATGCACGAAGGGAATCACAAGGTATAAACTTCCAGTTACAAAATAAATAAGTTATGGGGGTGTAGAGCACAGCATGGGGACTATAGCTGATGATACCATCCTGCATATTCGAAAGTTGCTAAGACAGCAGATTGTAAAAGTTCTCATCACAAGAAAAAAATTCTATAACTCTGTATGGTGACACATATTAACGCTACTTATTGTAGGGATGATTACACAATGTAAACAAATACACCTGAAACTAATATAATGTTGTATGTCAATGACACCTCAATAAAAAAATTATACAAAGCTGGGGCTGGTCCAAGAAAGTAACATATGAGGAATGTTTTTAACGCAGTCCTGGAAAAGCAGTTAAGAGCATGGGTTTTACACCTGAAACTAACGTAACAATTGTATGTCAGCTATACTTAGAAAGAACTTCGGGGGTTCTTTCTATGAAGGGCTTCGGGGGTTTCAATTCTAGCTCTGTTGCATCCTCACTGTTGATTTTGGGTAAGGTACTGAATTTCCCTAAACCACAATTTCCGTAACTGTACACTGTGGATAATAACACTAATTCTTAGGTGATCGTGAAAGTTAAATGAGATACTATGTGTAGAGCACAACACAGTGCCAGACACATCCATGGTAATCATTGTTATCATTACTATCATAGTTAGAGACTTAACAGAGTTTTACCAAACTATGGTATGTCTTAGACATTCATTCACCAGAAACCACAGATGTCCTAAAATATATCACAAAGCTATCTGAAGAAAAGTGAACATAAAGCACTGTGATGGATTTGAAAATATTTGGTAAAGACAATGGCCATTTTGTGGGTCATAAAACCAAGATCAGTGATTTAAACCCGGAAAATGGAAAGTAGCATTTTTCGAAGAAGTATGAGACACAAAAAACTGGTCCTTCTCCCATCGACCTAGGTACTGGGATTGGCCACCTGGGCTCACAGGCAACATGCCTTATCATTAGAACAAGGATGTAGAGCACTTGACCAAGCGTGGAGGTTAGCTGGCCGATAATGCTTAATAATAGGCTCGTTTCTCTGATCTCAGGGGACATTTTCTTGCGATGGCATTTTCTACAATTACTGATGCAATTAAACAAATTTCAGTTAGCCAGACTGTTTGATGCCTTGATCATTTTAAATGGAACTCATTATTTTCTCAAGTTCATTCTCTAGTATAAATGTAATAATATCTTTTTAATTTGATGTTTGCTGAACATTATTGGGAAGAATGATCTGGGGTGTCTAGGTGGCTCAGTCAGTTAAGCGTCCGGTGTCAGCTCAGGTCATGATCTCATGGTTCGTGGGTTCGAGTCTTGCATCGGGCTCTGTGCTGACAGCTCAGAGCCGGGAGCCTGCTTCAGATTCTGTGTCTCCCTCTCTCTCCACGCCTCCCCCACTCACGCTCTGTCTCTCTCTCTCTCTCAAAATAAACATTTAAAAAAATTTAAAGGAAAAGAAAAATGACACATAACTGAATCTTAAAATCCTTCACTTCTTAACCAAGCACCACCTCTTACAGAATCAAGAATGGTCTTTTTCTATTGCTCTCAGAATATACAACTCATACAGATCAAGAATGTTATTTCATAATCAAAACCCCATGACGAATCAAAAATTATTTCTTGACATGTGCGAACGGAAGGACAGAAAACAATAATGCATTATTTACAGGTTTTAATCTAAACTTCAAAAGAAAGAAATGAATTGGAAAATTCAGAAGGATAATCCATACCTCCGGTTGACCCAGGGCAACAAATAAAGCTCGAATTTCCTTGAGTATTAAAACGGACAGTTTGCGTGTGGCCACCTGGAAACTGCAGAGTAAAACCAGAGCAAAGCCTTCCACGGCGTGAAGAACACTGCAGTGGGGACCTCGCTCCGACTGAATTCGGTGGCTGGAGCCATTTGGAATTAGCTGTCATGTAATGAGAACACATTGTATATTCAGAAAAATAACAATCGAGGAAGAAGAAAGTGCTCACATGCACATCTTTCGGCACATGTGACCTTGTAATATTAAAATAAATTACAGTGGCTTCTAATCAGACAGGAGTATAAATTCATTATTATTCATGACAGCACAGATCTCTTTTTTCTTTAGATCAATTGTTACTTTGAAATACCATCAACCATCTGTTACCTCTGATAAGAAATAACTTTCAAAGGCAATTAATATTAATAAGAACAAAACTGGTTCTATTCATATACTGTTGGCAATTATACCATAAATTCAGTCAAAGTGGCCTAATTTGTTTTTAGCCAGATTCCCTATAGACTTTTGGAGACCGTTCAATTGAATTTTCAAACATTTACTTCCTAATCACACTTACTTACTTGCATTTGTGTTAGATTCTAATCTAGGTTTGTGCGTGCTTATGAGATGGGTTCTCAAAGTTTCTGAACCACGACCAAGTGGGTCTGAAACAAAAGCAAGCCAGACAACAGGGCAGATTCCACATCCGTTTCAGGTTTTCCCTTTGACAAGCACATGCAATCCTTGTTTCTCTCCCTTCCGTGTGTACAACACACAAGGAAAGAGGAATGACCTAGGATCTGGATCCTGGCTCTTCCCTCAGCGCTGTTGTGCTTCCCTGAGCCTCCGCCTTCCCCAGACTCTCAGCTGTGTTCTTCCCTCGCCAGGCCCTCTCTCTGCTCATTCAATGCCAAGTCACCACTGCCCCTGCTCTCCTGACAACACTTCTCCTCAACCTGCTCTTGATAACGGTGTCATTAATTTTTGCCATTTAGGACTGATTTGTGAAAGAATAAAGAAACCACAAGGTTGCATTTTCTTCTCTGTGGATATTGGGCAAGGCAACCAATATGTTGCAGGCTAGGAAAAACAAAACAAAACTAGTGGGCAGCTAAGAGCGATTTCTACTCCCTTAATGGTTTTGTGAATGTTAACAACTCTAACCTGATAACATATCAACCCTGAGTTTCCCGGTCACAGTTTACACGGATGGAAAAATTAAGGGCCACCACAGGGCAGAAAGTTCCTAGGTGGCTGGAAGAAAGAACGCCGAAGTTTCTCCGAGCTGTGATGCGTTTACGTGTGTACTGTATTAGGGAATATAAATTGGTGGGAGGAGTGTGAAGATTACCTCTGAATTTCTGATCTTGCCGGCTTGTTCGTAGACTTTTCCTTGAGTTTGTGTGACAAGTTTCCACTGCGTGAGCAGCTGAAGCAGTAACTTGAGGGACGAATCAAGGAGCGTGTGGTGCATGTCATTTACTTCCCGCAGTAGGAAGTTGGTAAAGCCAAACAGTACATCTTCTCTCCAGTCTGAGAAGTCAACAAGTAAACCCTGAAGAGAGTTTTGTGCAATGTGTCGCAGTTCATCATCCATATGAATAGACAACCTGCAAAATGAGTCAAAGAAAATAAAGGGATTTAGTTTATTAGCTTTTCTTCTAGATCTGTGATTGAACAAATACAGGCCTCTGTTTTTCCTTGTGTCTCAAAAATGGGTCGCCCCCAGGGCCCCTGGGTGGCTCAGTCGGTTAAGCATCCGACTTCAGCTCAGGTCATGATCTCAACAGCTGATGGGTTCGAGCCCCACGTCAGGCTCTGTGCTGACAGCTTGGAGCCTGGAGCCTGCTTTGGATTCTATATCTCTCTCCCTCTCTCTGCCCCTACCCCACTCACACTCTGTCTCTCGTCTCTTGAAAAATAAATAAACATTAAAAAAAAAAATGGTTCACCCTTCCATATACTCTTCATTCGGCTCCCCTAATGTGGACACCTGATATGACCATGGTACCTTTATCAAAGCTAAGGAATTTACATAGGTGCAGTGCTATTAACTAAACTACAGATTTTATTCAGCTGTCCCCAGTTTTTCATTAATGTCCTTTTTTTTCCTGTTTCAGGATGAAATCTAAAATATTACATGGCTTTAGGTGTATCTGAATAACTTTTTAATACATTATTGACTGTAGAATAAATTCGTATCAAACCCTGTCACTTTTAAGGATAAAACAATGGAGTACCAGAGAAGCTAAGGGACTCATCTGGAAGTTCAGTGAAAATGAGCAACCAAGGGTGAGATCAATGGTCCACAATTTTGCCCCACCGAGGGAGATGCGGTAATGTCTGGAGACATGACTGACTGTCCCAACTCAGAGAGTGCTACCGGCAGTTCTCTAGTAGTTAGAAGCTAGTGATCTGGCCAAACATGCATGGGCCAACTCCCTACAACAAAGAATTATCTAGACCAAAATGGTGACAATGTCAAGGCTGAGAAAACCCAAGTCAACCGGAGAATGTCAGGGTATTGGTGGTTTAACCTAGAGTATCATAATGATACTAAATCTTGACATTGTATTAACCATCAGTTAACGTAACGTATAGACTCTTCTATTCATTTATTTAAGACACAAATATTTTTGAGACTCTCCTGAGATGCAGACGTAACAGCCCTTAGGATATCGAGGTCAGTATGGTTGTGTCAATTGGGTAGGGTGCTTGTAGGAGCCAGGGGTGAGATGGTGTTGGAGAGGAAGCAGAGACAGCTTGGCAAAGGGTCTGTGGGCCATGCAGGGAGGCAATACAGCAGGGAAGGGGGAAGGTGTGTGTGCTCTGGAATCAGAAAGCCTGGATCAGTGTCTTGCCTCTGTCAGTTACTAGCTATGTGACCTTGTGCTAGTTACTCAATCTCCCTAAGCCTCAGAGCCTCATTTGGAAAACAGGGACAATAACTGTACTCGCATTTCATAAATTTGTTGTGAGGTTCATTAAGATGACCCATGTATGGCATATGGCACCACAAGGAGGGTGTGGTAGGCACTCAGTAACTGTTAGCTATTATTATTAGAAAAAAAAAACTATCTTGAAAGTTATAGGTGATATAACATGATTAGATTCACATCTGGAAAAAAACAATAGGCAGCCATACGGAGGAGAAGGCTTAGAGAAGCAACCAGAGGCAGGACAGAGACCAGCTAGGAGGTCACTGCTGTGACTTAGGCAACAAGCGGTGGGGGTCTGACCCAAGGCAGAGGAATGGTAAGGAAGGAAGACAGAGAGATCAAAGACACTGAGGGGATCATATTTCTAAGGACTCAGCAGCCTGGAGGCATTTAGTGTGGGAGAAGAAAATGGCTAAGTCACTGAGAGCGCCCCCAAATGGTCGATATTCTCCTCAATGAAAGGGAGGAAACGTTGGGACCCAGAGTGGTTAAGGAACTTCCTCAAAGTCCAGGATTCCAATCTAGCACATCTAACCCTTAATCCGGTTTTCTGCAAAAAAACCAAGTCTGGTACAGTTGTATGTTTTTGAATAAACATGGTTTCAAAAATTCGATAAGCAAACACCTTTCATATTCTCTAAAGCATAAAGCACACTAATTGGTCCAAATTTGACAATATAAACCAGGCAAAAGCTTGTTAATGAGCAGATATATACCAAGTCAGGGAAAATGTATTTCCTGTTCCAAAAGCAAGTGACGTTCTACAAAGACACTGGAAAGGAAGATCTAAGCTATTTCTTCCGGTTAGACTTGCCCCACTCAGTCTACAGTTCTTAAGGAGGTCACAGTGACTGAAAGAAAACAAAGATGCCCTTACCCTGAGCTTCCAGTTGAGGACTGGCCAAACTTACAAACTTTCTTTGTAAGACAAAGAAAGAACTTACAAACTTTCTTTGTATTTTAATCAGCAGCTTATTAAGTGTAATCTGTAACACATAATATCTGAGTTAAAGCTGGAGTTAAGGGCCTGAGGCCCCCCCTCATATGGGAAGAAACATTACTCTATAAGCACCCCTGAGTCATTCTGCAGCCTATGGTTTAAAAAAACATTAGTTTATAAAACAACAATTGAAGTCATCTTCCCATCTTAAGTTCATGATTCCTATTTATTGTATTTACACTATCTATGGTCCTGAATGTTTGAAAGATTAAGCTTCTGCAAATGACAAGCCACCTTTACGATGGGAAAAACAGGCACTCAGTAAACATTAACTGATGGTAACGTGCCAGTGCAGAGGTCCTGGAGGCCCCTCTTTCAGTGATCCAGAGGGGCTGAGCCGTGTGATCACGAGGGCATGGGCTGCTCCCACAGACCGTTATTGAATAAGTAAGGGTGTGGCTTAAAAGGGGAAAAATCAAAACCTGAGCAAGGCCACCTTCTTGGTTGGTCAGACCAGATAAATGACTTTTAATGGAAAACACTTTCATAAAGGTGAGCTCAGCTTCACATGGGGTCAGCTTAGTACTTTTGAATAACCTTGTTGTGTTAGAGGTACACGAATGAAAAGGGAGTGATTCCAAGTCACAGACTATATCCAGAAGAAAAAGATCCATTAGGAGAAACAGCCCCTTCTAAACTATGGCAGGAAAAACAAAAGGTTATTAGGAAAAGGTGCTGCTCTATAACGTCAAGGGCAGCAGAGGGAAAGATGGTATTATTTATTATTTATTTTTTAAAAATGTTTGTTTATTTTTGAGAGAGAGAGAGCAAGAGGGGCAGAGAGAATGGGAGGGAGACAGAGGATCCAAAGCAGGCTCCACGCTGTCAGTGCACAGCCTGACGCAAGGCTTGGACTCAAAAACCATGAGCTCATGACCTGAGTCAAAGTCAGATGCTTAACCCACTGAGCCATCCAGGTGCCCTAGAAAGATGGTTTTAAAGGGATGCCCAGGAAACCATGGTTTCCAAAAGTAGTAATTTGCCGACAGGTGGGTGGTTAGCCTTTGTAATAATTGCCAGAAGTGGCTGGAATTTCCTCTCTGCAGGTGTTAAACAATGAACCTGCAACTATTTACGGTGCTCCGAATTGCATCTCAATGAAAAGAAATTAAAATTAAAGACATAAGATTAAGTGGTTTATTGAGGCAATACATGCAATTGAGACAATAGTTCTCAGATACTCAAAACAACTAGCCACCTTGCACTATACAGACACATACTGAAAGGTGAATAAAAAATGGTATATGATAAATATTTTTCAAGCACCACAGAAGATTGTGAAACTGTGTACACATTACCTCATCAATCTCCACAGGTTATAAGGAAACACTGCATAAAAAGTGTTTATCTGTCATTTTGCATCAAACCAATGACATGTGTCACTGCCATTTGGCTTTAGGAAAATTCTGTACATCGGGCAACTGATTTTACTCTTCTGAAGTCCAAATCTCCTTCTCTGAAAATAGGACTAAATATGTGCCCAGCTTTCCTTAACATAATGTGTCTGAAAATGCATTGTACATCATGGCATAATCTTTTATGCAAATGCAAAAATGCCTAAAAATAATAACTCACATTTGCTGAGAGCTTACTGTGTTCTAGGCACTATGTGAAGTGATTTATATGCATTATTTGATTCTAACAACCTTATGACAAATTATTCGAAGGGAAAGGTAGACCATGAAAGCAACCCCTTAGTGCATAAGCCATGCTGTGGGAAGTGACAGAGGACAGAAGCCTGTATGCCATTGGGGGAAAGGTCCTTCCTGTGGTCAAGGGACAGAGCAGGAAACATCTGGAAGAACAGTTAAGAGAAAAATGATGCCCATGGCCAAGGACACAAGTAAGTTCCCCTGCTATGTGGAGAATCCCAGGGGTACCCAGACAGCTGGGAAGGGCAGGCTTTGTGAGCGCAGGAAGGAAATTCTCCCCAGGGATCTTATCATGATGTCAGGACAGCCAGCGTGGCTTCCATGGAGCCCAACTGGAAAGACTCTTCACACAGCCATTATAAGTGGGCTGAGGGATACACATAAAATCAGAAACGTAGTAGCTTGGGGAAAGGGGTTTGCCAGTTCATTCCATACACCATCGTCCTGCTAAACACACTACTGTTAGTCTGAAATTAGAGTGTCTGTGGTAATGTAGTCATTACCTGAAATGCTGGCAAGGGGCTCTGGGGACAGTCACGTGGGACATATCCTTGAAACTCCTTATTCAGGGAACTGAGCTTGGGCAGGTCAACGGGCGAACAGGGAACTGGCAGGAACGTTGGTCTTATTTTGCTAGTTTTAAAGAAAAGCAAGTTTTTCTCCAGTAACAACGTACCATGGATGCGACCACGAAGCAGCTGAACTAAAAGGTCCCATACCTCTCTGACTAGACTGTATATTGTCCCAAGAGTCAACTCAGTCCCAATGCGACTGACGGTGGGGGAATAAAGTAACTATAGACGTGAAACCCACATTTATTGCTATTGAATTTCTTCATTTTGTCCCTTGACCCTCCCTCAAGGAGGTCTGAAGGGGCTCATTTGCTCATAGGTTAACAGGACCCGGTGTGTAGGTCGAGCACTCCAAGTTATCCTTCCGTTGAGGAGAATAGCCTCCGGCTTCTTTTAAAGTTTATGAAAAAGGTCTCTTCACAGGCTTCCCATATAAGTCCAGTCATTTTCCTGATTTCTAAGACTTGAACTCTCAAGAATGTTTATTTGCTCTTTCCCCTCATAAAAACAGTACCCATTGCTTTGGGCTTTGTAAGAATGTACGTAATAATAAACACGACGCACCATAAATAGCACTGACATTCCAACCATGTCTAAGAGAAGGCACGCCTGGCACCATGGTCAGCAGAATTCAGGCGTCCCTGGATTCAGTGATCAGAGTGACTCCAGAGGTAAGAGTCCACCCCACAGAGTCACGGCAAAATAGATTCAGAGAGTGTATCTGAACGCTGCATGACATTTCAAAACCTTGGTATTCCAAAGACCTTAGCGCGTGTAATCTTCAGCAATTAGAACTTCACTGACACCAATGAACTTTCCTTCTGCTTCAATCGAACTGAAAACTGCCTTTTCCCTGCTGACACATTTTCCCTTGGGTGCACCACAGTGCTCGTCTATGACATTTAGCCTTCTCAACAGCCTTATGAGATAGGCGGTATTATTCCAGTTTCATCCAAGGCAAAAAGGCCGAGGGGTTACATAATTTGTCTAGATCACATGGTTAGTGAAATTGCAAAAGCAGGATTGCAAAATCCAGGGTTTTCCTGTGATTCCATTTCGTTCCCATTTTTTTGGTGCTTCCTCCAAATCTCTCAGATGGTGGTCTCTCGCTCTCTGGTGGTTCACAGGCCATGACAAGCAGTCCTCTGTCCCCCGATTTCTCACTGCCACATCCAGCCCTTCCGCTCGGCAACCCCTCCTCTGTGCTAACACTTGACTCCTACTCACTCACGTCCTCCACTGCTGTCCCTGGCATACTGACCGGCTGCTCACATACCTTTCGGGGTAACCTTGGCACCTGGCGCCTGCTTCAGAGCTTTTCTTTACCCTCAGTCTTTGCCATCATCGTCGGATACTCAAATATTAACAGTATTTGAGTCTCTTATTCCTCAGCTTCCCTTATCCCCAAACCACCATGCTTATTATTCTTTGGGATTCTACCCTTTGTTCCTCCTTGGATCTTCTCACCCAGAGCTGGAAGCCCCTCTTTGATCCAGGCTTATTTTTCCTTCCTTTCTACTGCTTCCCTGCTTCCAACAAATGTGCTCTTTGTTCACATTCTGGTTGTTAAGCTGCGGCAAAAGCCTAGGCTGTACCTTTTTTTTTAACGTTATAATCTTCCTAAAATAGGTCTTAAACATGGAATGGAAGAAAGAAGGGCACGTGGTGTGGAGGTTGCTGATTACAGGAAAGAAGAGGTTACGGGTAGCAGTGACCAAAGCCAGCTAGGAGGGTGGATGGCTTTGGCCAATGAGCACCAGGGCTTGCGACAGTGGTTTTCAAAGTAATAGATCTTCAGTCAGTCTCACAATCCAGCACCATCCTGTGTTAGTGGTGACTGGCAGAAGGAAAGGGGGCAGTTTTGTCTATGGTTGGAAGACAGTAGGCTACAAAAGATATTAACTAATGGCAAGGTGCGAACAATAGGAGTCCATATTGGCCCTCCAGAGGAGAGGGCGTGATGACCACAATAACCAGGAACATGGTGCTCTGTGGAGATACTCTGAAGCTATGGGATAGCCATTGGTGGTCTGCAGTCATGTGGGATGAGGGCTTGGGTTACTTTACTTGATACTGATGAGAAGGGTGCTCTCCAAGGGTTAGTGAATGTGGGTAAATGGGGGTCATGTGTAATGCATCTTTAATTCAGTCAGTGTTAGTATTTGTTAAATTATTTTTTGTTAACTTTATTTATTTTTGAGAGACAGAGAGTACAAGCGGGGGAGGAGCAGAGAGAGAGAGGGAGACACAGAATCCGAAGCAGGCTCCAGGCTCCGAGCTGTCCGCACAGAGCCCGACGCGGGGCCCGAACCCACACACTGCGAGATCATGACCTGAGCCGAAGTTGGACACCTAACCGACGGAGCCACCCAGGCTCCCCAGTCAGTGTTAGTGTTTGTTATCCTCCTCTGGGCTTTCCTCTGTGCCACCATTATCAGATTAACCAGACTAAACTAATATTTTTTATAACATTATTCTCACTTAAAACTCCATTGGTCCAAATTCCTCAGCTAACAGTAAAGATTATCTAAAAATTTACCACTCCAGTCTTATTTCTATGCCTTTTAATCATTGGCTTTTATATTCCTTTTTCTTTATTTTTTCAAGTCAAGGAGGACTTGTGTTCTTTCTCATCCCACTCCCTTCATGCACCCCATTCCTAATGATTTCACATTCTAAATTGCTTTTAAGTAACGTCACTTTTGATTTTTAATTTAAAGGCACATAAGTGTCAACTAGGGCTTCAGATCAACATGTGGAAATTATGCTTCTTTAAATGTATCAACATAATTTCACTCAAAGCAAATTCACTTGAGGTTCTACTTGGACTGAGCATTCTTATGGACAAATGTTGGGAGGGTGATAAATATATGGTTTGGGGCAGATTTCTGAAGCACTAAAATTAGCTAAGCACTTTGGCTCCTGAGAGGTCTGTGGGCCTCAGACTGGGAATCAGACCCTGAATGAACTCTTCTCCAGGAAGACCCACCTCCCCATTCCCCAGGCCTACCTCTGTGCCTTTCTGTCGTCACTCTGTTTATCGTTCTGGGTTCTGTGTCAAGTTTCACCTTCTCCCAGAACTGATTTGCTGACTTCCTTTGTCCCCAGTAATCCCCGTGCCCACTGAACTCACGTGTCACACTTCAGGTGCTATTAATGTGCACAATTTCAGGCCTTGGATAGTTGGTTACCTTATGTACTTATGTATTTGCTTCTAATTTGGATGTGAAGCCCCTTGAATATGAGGGAAAAAGGCAAAAAAGATTTCTTTATTCCCCCTTGCCTATACATAGTACCCAGAATAATGCCTCATTTAGTAAAATCTGTCAATTTTTTAATAATCATTCTTTTTGCTGTTGTCATTAAGAATCATGACAAAGGATTATAATCAATTGGATCAACTAAACCCACTGCAGCTCTCACTTACCTAGCCAGCAAGTCAATAAGTTCAAGTTTTGACATGCCATCAGGAAGGAGTCGAGGGATAGCAGCAACACAGGTCCTGAAAAGATCTATTTTTGGCTTTCTCTCACCCCTAGAATTTGAAAACAAACATGGGTCAAAGGCTACAAAAAGTTAAAAAAAGAATCAATCCAATCTGTGAAAAAGGACTAGAATCCAGGCCTTCTGAATCACTGCCTGGTATTTACTGCACATTTTTCTCAAAAGTTTTTGACCTTTATAGCTTGGTCTGTTCTAAGAGAACTCAGAAAGATTTAAACGTTGGAGGTATATATCTAAAAGGACAAATGCCAATGTCAACAGCATTCTGCCATTGAGTCTGCCATTCAGTTGGGTTCCATGGGGTTTGGTCCCTGTGGACTGCATTTAAACCACTGAATTCGCTGACATGCCTAAATGCATCAGTGTGTAAAAAGCACACTGCACTCATTCCTACATTCAGCATTTAAAAATGGGATTTTAGTGTGTACAAGGCATAGTGCCTCTAACAAGCACAACATCTGGAAGCTTGTCTCTCTAGCAAGTTATATTTCTCTTCTGGAGTCCCCACGGTCATTAAAAAAAAAAAATTAAGTGCTTCTAAAAATAAGCCTTTCATAATGTCAGGTAAACTCCTGAATTCTATATGGTTGTGCATCCAATTCTGATTTGTAAAATTACACTGATGAGCCTGACCTCTATGGAGATTCCTTCCCTCTTTTTATTGTCTTGACAATATGAATGCTTAAAGATAATTAGTGTCTTCTATATTCTGCTGTAAAATCTGAAGGAACACTAAATTTTGTGAAAAATTATTTCAATTTTGAGTTGCTTAGATAGGTAACTGATTCTTAACCACATATTTTGCCAATAACCTTTATGAAAAAACTCAACCACCCATCAAATCCTTCAAAAAACCTAAGTGATAAAATATAACAACATACTTAAATTCTGATAATTCAGTCTTCTGAGAATAAATATAAAACTGTCATGAAATTAGTGCTGTTGTAGGACACAGAGACAATGATGAAAGTGCAAAGTAGCATAAAGTCATTCTTTTTTGGAATATTAACTGCGGTCAGAACAGAAATGCAGCAGGCGGGATCCTCCCTGTCTATAATCAGACAGAAACTCTGCTCTGTGACATTACTTTTTTGCACGGCTTTGTTTAGGTCTGTCAAGAGTGAATACAAAACTGTTTATGTGGAAAATAAAACACAAATGTGTTGACTTCACAAATGCTCTGCTTTTGCAGAAAGTTATAGGATTGTTTTCTCTCCTTTTCCATAGTCCTTTCTGCATAGTCCTCCTTGTACGAGGACTGGAGAAGGAGCCATTGCACAGTGGGTTTTAATCAACTGAAGGGAGGAGGAGTCTTCAAGTGCCATCCTCCATAACTGTACAGAGTTAGAGCTTAGTGATGGCTCCTGATCATTGGCAACACGGTGAGTTGTTTAAATAGCTCTTCTGGCTTGCTCACCAGATGTTTTCAACAGCTGGGATTATTTTCCTATCTGTTGGAAAACAGATGACCCTGCTGGCCTGAAGTATAAGGCAGATTCCACGAGGCCTCCAAGTTGATAAAAGAAGCCCAGATTAGAAGCTCTAATGGGTACATGATTTCCTTCTACTACTGCAGTCCTTGCTTTCTGGGCTTTTATAGGAAGCAAGTGAACTTCCCCCTCTCCCCATAACATAATTTTTATTAATAGGTATTATTATTGTCTTCTAGCATGTACCACAAAAGGGATGAGGAACGGGAATGGAGCAAATAAAATGCTTAATGTTCAAGTTCATATCCTAAGCAGAACGTGGCAAAGCGGAGGATTGCATATCAACCGCAATGATGGTTTCTGTTAGTGTGGTGTGGACCTTCCCCGTCGTGTCCTAAATGCTTATGTTTCCCTGGTGTTTCTCTTTGTCTTCTGGAAATGTGGCAACGAATTATTTCCTACTCCAGGATCTGCCTCAAAATGTAGCATAGAAAGTATTCCCAGCCCTGTTTTGGGGTCTTATGATGACTGAATAGGCAAAGTAAAGAATCATCTTAGAAAAAGTTTAAGGTATTGGTTAAAATACAAACAAAATGTTTACAGTTACATTTAAACCTGTACCTTTTTATGGTTTTGAATATACCATTTTGGTCCTGACCCTATCTTAGGATCTCTTATCAATATAGTTTTCCTTTACAAGTTTTTCTTTACTGTTTTTCAGGCAAACAACCATATGGCAGAAGTTTTAGAAACACGTCTTTTATCTTCCACATTATCAATTGAAAATTGCTTCAATATGTTAAAAAAGAATGTACTAATGAGGTTAAAGGTTGACAATCTGGCCATTTGTGAGGGTGGAACCGGAGCTGGAGACAATACATTTGATGTTATTCATCTTGGTCAATTTTAATTTTTGTGATCATTTAGGGTGAAATCTAAAGCAACGTGATCATTTATTTATTTATTTATTATTTTTTTTTTTTATTTTTTTTTTCAACATTTATTTATTTTTTGGGACAGAGAGAGACAGAGCGTGAACGGGTGAGGAGCAGAGAGAGAGGGAGACACAGAATCGGAAGCAGGCTCCAGGCTCTGAGCCATCAGCCCAGAGCCCAACGCGGGGCTCAAACTCACAGACCGCGAGATCGTGACCTGGCTGAAGTCGGACGCTCAACCGACTGCGCCACCCAGGCGCCCTGCAACGTGATCATTTAAAACAAATGACTGGCAAGCTGCAGGATAATATGCATTGTATAATCCCATTTTTGTACGACAAATACATATATGCATGTATTTGTGTCGACATAAGGAAAGTTCCTAAAGGCATCACGCTGAGTCAAGCAATGGTCGTAGATTTCAAGTGGAGCTCTGAGGAGGAGGTTTTAATTTTAACTTTAGATACTCCCAACTATGTATTTAGAATAATTCTGTAGGTTTTACTTTGTCTTCTCATGTATTGTTTTGTTTTGTCATACTTCATTTTTGAGGTGCCTGCCATTGCAATAAAAATACACACCCACAACATGAATTTCCCTGTATAGGTAACAGTTTTCCAACACACTGTGGTGTTTGGAACTGGAAATGCTGAGGAACAAAGGAAACTTTCCCGGTTATATTTTTGGAAACTTATGCCACAGGTGCCACGTATAATTTAATTCACAGTCCAACAACAAAGTCTGAACTTTCTTGAAGTGTGAAGTTATAGCCTAGTCCTAGTTCCTGCCGTAACGAATCAAAAGCAGCAAATACAAGTTGCATGAGTTTCTTCTGCAGAGCTCTAATTACAAAGCTGCATCTTAGATTTGGGCTGAGCACATTGGATTTCAAATGAAGAGTTACATTCACAACTATAAATTATTCTTCTAAGATTCAGTATTTCTATGACACAGTCGCATAGAGACTATTAGGCACATGGAACGCTCACGGTTCAGGAACAATCACTAGAAACAAGTGAATTTGAAATTTATAAAGATGGAATGTCTGTAAACTGGTGATGTCACTCTGGCACGCAGGCTGTGACAGAGCTAGCTTGGGAGCAACTTGTGGACCACTGAGAGTCTTGGCCTCCCGTTTCTAACTTACTGGCCTAAGGACACTCAAAATATAACTGAAATAGATCAATCTCAGGTTTGACCATATTTTCAGAGTTAGTCAAATATCGTCAAGGTACGTTTTTACTATCCTTGGCACTTCTCAGAACTCTGATGCTAGGAAGAAGAGAACAAAATAGTGAATAAGTGGGAAAAATCTCTGCTGGTACATTTTGGCTAATTAATCCTTCACTGAAAACTTAGTCCTCACTCTACTCACGTGATCATGTCTTCAGGTTCTTTGTTTAGCATCTGAACATTCGTTAGCATCATACACCTTCCCACTTCTTTATCGAGGTGCCTTAAAATGTTGTCCACAGCTTTTCGTACTTGGGAGTAATACAAGGACATTCCTGGAAAACGTGCATTATAGTTACATCTTTGACTAAATCCATCAAGGAATGAAATCCTAGTTTGTTCCTCCCCTATGACATGTTTTTACTGAAGACCATCTATGGGTCAATGACTTCATTAAGCAGATTCCAATTCAATCTAATTTCTGTAGAATGCTTGGTATAGTGTCCTGAACTTGGTAGGTGTTCACCGAATAATCACTTAAATTTAATAAATAGGAATTCTCATACTTCAAAGGGAAATGTTTTCCCGAAGAGTTAAAATAAAAAGGAAATAGGTAGCTTTGCTTTAGAATTTTTATGTTTTTGGTTAGTACAAGAAAATTCACCATCATTACTGATGATGTGAATAAAGAATAATTGTTATTTGGGGTTGGGATTTTAATAACTTTACTGTTCTCTGAAATATATGTGTAGATTTTTTAGTAAAATAAACAAAAATGGCTTTACATCACAAATTTTAAAATGAAGTAAAACCTATTTTAGCTATAGTATTTTTACTGTTCTCATTAAATATAGTGTCAATGTTCTACAGTGGAAGTCAAATATATGTAGCCTATGTGTATTTCATGCATGTATATGCATTTCATATATTTATGTATATAAAACAAATGAAAAGCAAATTGCTTTGCATTTAAAATTTGTACCTTAATGAAATAATTATTAATGATTATTTTTCATACATCTTTCTGAACTCATTTGAGCATTTCCTAATTAAAGATAAACATTTGAAGCAAAAAGTCTCCTCAAATTTCCCTCAGATCTTTGACAGAGGAATTATTTTAACAAAGTTTGTAGGTTTCTAAATTCAAGTATTCAACAAGAAAGAAACAAATGCAAAAAAACACCTCTTTGGATTAAGATAGCTAAATTAAAAAGACAATAGTCTCATGTAGGCTAAACCCACAATATGACCTGGCATGTGTGGGATGTGGAATGTTTAAAACAGGGATTTAACTAATTTTACTGAAAAAAAAAAAAAAGAAGGAAAGGAAGTATAAAAATGAATGAACTAACAAATGAATATTTATATGGTTGCTTTTTAAACAGGATATCTACCAAAGGACACAGATGTCTCAGAAATTTACTGTAAAATGTAGATAATCAATATTAGAAGTTTGAAAAGACCGTAGATAAAAGTCTAACATTTAAATGGCAAAATGTTTACCAGGAAGTTCCAGAAAGTTTAAAGGGCAGTAAAACAAAGCACAGCATGAATCATTCAAAACAATTAATGTTGGAATGTTACAGCTACTTGTATAAAAATGTTTTAACAGTGTACCTCACTGAGGGTAAGTATCCAATGGTCATTAGAAGGGCTTACCAAAGCCCACCTCTAACACATCTCTGAGACCCACCTATCATTTTGGCTTCTTCTTCAGTTAGCGTTTTACTCAAATATGTTTTCTTCACTCTCAATGTGTTTCCTGAAGGGAGAACAGCTCCTGTCACCGGCATGGGGGGTTCACCGTCTTTCTGCTGCAAGCTGTCGGCTATTACTAAGAATGCCCGTAAACCAATGTTCATTCTCTGTAAGAGATAATGTGTTCATAATAAAAAGAAAAACCCAATTATTGTAGTGGAATTAAACCATCAGCCTTTGAGAGAAGTCAGCATGGCTTGCTATCCAGATTAGTATGAGAAAGTAATTTAAAAGGCACAAGAATTTAGGCCAAACCTATGAACGTTAAATTGAGTTTCTGTCACTATTTGTTGGCACAGCAGAGGAAGACAACCGGAAAGATTTTCACCCTACTTGGAGGGTACGTTTGAGAGAGTCATGCTCATCCTGTTTGGGGAATCCTGGTGAACCTCAAAGGGAAAGGCCTTCATCCTCTGGAGCAGCTGCAACTAAGGGAAACTGAGGTAAATAAAGGGCTCATAGGTCTCCTGAGGGAGAGAGATGCCCTGTGTGTTAATTCACAAAGACTGAATGAAAACAAACAGGAGTTAAAAATGTGAATCACAGGGGCGCCTGGGTGGCTCAGTCGGTTGAGCGTCCGACTTCGGCTCAGGTCACGATCTCACGGTCCGTGAGTTTGAGCCCCGCGTCAGGCTCTGGGCTGATGGCTCGGAGCCTGGAGCCTGCTTCCGATTCTGTGTCTCCCTCTCTCTCTGCCCCTCCCCCGTTCATGCTCTGTCTCTCTCTGTCCCCAAAATAAAAATAAACATTAAAAAAAAAATTAAAAAAAAAACAAAACAAAACAAAAAACAAATGTGAATCACAAAATAAAAATGGTCTGCTCTGAATTGCAGGTTGATGACTCTTGATTCAAAAAGACTGGCAAGTTTGAAAATAAATTTTAAAAGTTCAATGCCGCTGAACTTGTTACTGATAAAAAACACATGGGCTTATAAGAAGAAATGCCATTCGGGGCCAGATCTTTATCATCCTCAGACTCAGGTAAGGCATAATAGTGGCTCTGAAAGATGACTGAGAGATGGTTGCTACTAGTAGCAATATCTTAAAAGGTCAGAAAGTACTAAAACATCTGTACTTCCTTAACGGCCATGTGTGATGCGTTTATACTCAAATTTTCATGAAGTAATACAAGAATACACATTGCATGAAGTAATGTTTCCAAAGCAGGCTACTACCTAACAGCAGAAAATAATAATTATTGCTACCAACAACGATACTCTAGTTAGAATTTACTGAGCCGCTAAAATCCATCTGGAATTGCTCATTAGTTCTCATTTCAAAAACAGCCAGGCAAGGAAAGTGTAATTATTCCTATTTTTCAGGTGAAGAAACTGAGGCCATACAAGAAGTAGGTGGGAAGCTATACCCAAGTCAAGTTTGCCCCAGTTGCCTATTCTGTGATATAAGATTACATCCTATAACAAAAAAACAATACAGACTTCTTTTCATTTTGAAACCATTCAAGCTTCAAGGGACACTTATATTTTAACCAGGATTTGGTGAACAATTTTCTGGCTCATTGGTGCTGATCCAATGTGTACTTTATGATTTTATAGCCTTCAATAATATTCTGTCTCCGGTTTCTAGAAGGAAACAGTATTAACTTTAAAAGATTTAACTGTGGGGGCGCCTGGGTGGCGCAGTCGGTTAAGCGTCCGACTTCAGCCAGGTCACGATCTCGCGGTCCATGAGTTCGAGCCCCGCGTCAGGCTCTGGGCTGATGGCTCGGAGCCTGGAGCCTGTTTCCGATTCTGTGTCTCCCTCTCTCTCTGCCCCTCCCCCATTCATGCTCTGTCTCTCTCTGTCCCAAAAATAAATAAAAACGTTGAAAAAAAATTTTTAAATAAAAGATTTAACTGTGTATTAAAAGTCCATTCATTTCCCCATTCATTTTAGTAGTTCATGACATGTATTCTAGGCTTATGTATCTTTCTCAAGACATAGTAATGTTTTGGGTGAGGAAGTGGAATGTTCAATTCGGGAAACGCAATGCAAATAGAATAACTGTGGATTGCTGTCACTGGCCAAGTCTGTTATTTGCAAGTGGCATATCCAATTCATGAACTGCCCTGGCCAGTTCTCTGAGTTTTCCTTCCTTCTGGATAACACTGGGACATATATTTTCAATTTAGCTTCACAATTTCTTTTTGTATTTTACACAGTTTTGCATCTTACCTCTCCATTTTATTATTTGTCTACTCTTAGGAAATTATTTAACTCTTCTAAGTCCAAGTCTCAGCTTCCTTTCTATAAAATGAAGATAGTGATACCTAGTGATCACGCAGGGCTATGGTAAGGATTAATGCCTGAAAAGTTCCTGCCGGTAATTATATATTCTTAGGTTTGAATCTACACTTGATTTTTTTAAAGCCAGGTTTATAGAGACATAATTTGCATAGAGTAAAACATACACAGTTGCACAGTTCTTTGAGTTTTGAGAAACTTATACAGTCAGGTAACTGTCATCACATTCAAGATATAAAGTTATTTCCATCATCCCCCAAAGTTCCCTCATGCTTCTTTAGAGTCAGTCCACTTTCCATCCCAGCCTCTGACAGTCATTGTCTAATTTCTGCCTTCTAGTATCTCACCTTTTCCAGAATGGAATGCAACAGTACATAGTCTTTTGTGTCTTGCTTCTTTGACATAGCATCAAGCTTTTGAGACGTTGTTGCAATAGAAGTCATTTGTTCCTTTGTTTGTTTTCATTGCTGAATAGTATTCCACTACATTGATGATGCACACAACTTGTTCAGCCACTCACTAGGTGTTGAACATGAGTTACTTTCCTGTTTTTAGTTATATCAATAAAGCTTATTCTAAAATTTATAGGGAAAGTATAAGGAATGAGAATAACCAACAGAATGCTGAAAAAGAAGAAAAAAATTGGAGGACTAGTATGTCCTCATTTAAAAATGTTTATTCTATGAATAAATATTCACAGAAACCTTTTTGGAACTTTTGGAGCTTTAATTTCTCTTGGATAAATACCTTGGAGTAGAAATGGTGGATCATACAGTAAGCGTATGTTTAAATTTAAAGGAAATTGCCAAACTGTTCTCTAAAATGTTGGTGCCTTTTTGTGTTCTCACCAAAGTAGTATCAAGTTCCAGGTGCTCAACATCCTTCTCAGCACGTCTCAGTGTGGTTTTAACTTGCATTTCCCTCATGACTAATGATGTTGAACATCTTTTCATAGGTTTATCGGTCATTTGTATGTCTTCTTTGGGGAAGAGGCTGTTCATTTTGCCCATTTAAAAAATGGAGTTCTTACTGTTGAGCTGTGAGAGTTCTTTATATCTTAGATACAAGTGCTTTATCGATATGTTTTGCAAATAGTTTCTTCCCAGTCAGCTACTCTATGCTTTATTAACAGTCTCTCTTAAAGTGCAGACACATTTTTATTATGATGATGTTTGATTTACCAATTTTTTTTTTTTGTAATTCATGATTTTTGTGCCCTAAGACATTTTTGTCCACTCAAAGATTACAAAGATTTTATCGTATGTTTTCTGCTGGAAGATTTATAATGTTGGATTTTACACTTAGGTTTGCGATACATTTTGACTTAATTTTTGCTTACTGTGCAAATTATGGATTGAACTTCATTATTTTGCAAGTGGATGTCCAATTGTTCAGCACCATTCATTGAAAAGGCTACCCTTTATCCATGGAAATAACTTGAAAATGTTGTTGAAAATAGAGCGGCCATATATATGTGGGTCTATTTTTGGAGTCTCTTTTCTGTTCCATTAGTCTTTAAAATCACTTTTCTGCCAGTACTACGCTATTGTAGCTTTTCAGTATGTTTGGAAATCAGGATATACTAGTCCTCCAATTTTTCTTCTTCTTTTTCAGCATTATGTTGGTTATTCTAATTCCTTATACTTTCCGTATAAATTTTAGAATAAGTTTGTTGATTTCTATAGAAAATCCTATAAGGATTTTAACTGGGATTATTAATGGAATTATCGTTTAACATATATAGATTAATTTGGGGACAACTGACTTTTTTATAGTCTTAAATCTTTCAGTCCACAAATAGTATTTCTCTCTGTTTATTTGGGTTGTCTATGATTTTCCTCAACATCTTTTACTTTTCAGTACACAAATCTTATATATAATTGTTAGCTTTAGTGCTAAGTACTTTGTTTTCATTGCTGTGATAAATTGTTCAATTTCTTTTTTTTTCTTTTTTTAATTTACATCCAAGTTAGTTAGGATATAGTACAATAATGATTTCAGGAGTAGATTCCTTACCCACTTAGCCCATCCCGTCTCCCACAACCCCTCCAGTAACTCTCTGTTCTCCATATTTAAGAGTCTCTTATGTTGTCCTCCTCCCTGTTTTTATATTATTTTTGCTTCCCTTCCCTTTTGTTCATCTGTTCTGTGTCTTAAAGTCCCCATATGAGTGAAGTCATATGATATTTTTCTTTCTCTAATTTCACTTAGCATAATACCCTCTAGTTCCATCCACATAGTTGCAAATGGCAAGATTTCATTCTTTTTGATTGCCGAGTAATACTCCATTGTATATATATACCACATCTTCTTTATCCATTCATCCATCGATGGACATTTGGGCTCTTTCCATACTTTGGCTACTGTTGATAGTGCTGCTATAAACATTGGGGTGCATGCCCCCTTCAAAACAGCATACCTGTATCCCTTGGATAAACACCTAGTAGTGCAATTGTTGGGTCACAGGGTAGTTCTATTTTTAATTTTTTGAGGAACCTCCATACTGTTTTCCAGAGTGGCTGCACCAGCTTGCATTCCCACCAACAATGCAAAACAGATCCTCTTTCTCCACATCCTCACCAACATCTGCTGTTGCCTGAGTTGTTAATGATAGCCATTCTGACAGGTGTAAGGTGGTATCTCATTGTGGTTTTGATTTGCATTTCCCTGATGATGAGTGAAGCTGAGCATTTTTTCATGTGTCGGTTGGCCATCTGGATGTCTTCTTTGGAGAAGTGTCTATTCCTGTCTTTTGCCCATTTCTTCACTGGATTACTTGTTTTCTGGGTGTTGAGTTTGTTAAGTCTTTATAGATTTTGGATACTAGCCCTTTATCTGATATGTAATTTGAAAATATCTTCTCCCATTCTCTTGGTTGCCTTATAGTTTTGCTGATTGTTTCTTCACTGTGCAAAGCTTTTTATTTTGATGAGGTCCCAATAGTTCATTTTGTTTCCCTTGCCTCCAAAGATGTGTTGAGTAAGAAGTTGCTGCGGCCAAGATCAAAGAGGTTTTTGCCTGCTTTCTCCTCGAGGATTTTGGTGGCTTCCTGTCTTACATTTAGGTCTTTCATCCATTTTGACTTTATTTTGCGTATGGGGTAAGTAAGTGGTCCAGGTTCATTTTTCTGCATGTCGCTGTCCAGTTTTCCCAGCACCACTTGCTGAAGAGACTGTCTTTATTCCATTGGATATTCTTTCCTGCTTTGTCTTTCCTGCTGGCCATATGTTTGTGGGTCCATTTCTGGGTTCTCTATTCAGTTCCATTGATCTGAGTGTCTGTTCTTGTGTCAATCCCATACTGTCTTGATAATTACAGCTTTGTAGTATAGCTTGAAGTCTGGGATTGTGATGCCTCCTGCTTTGGTTTTCTTTTTCAAGATTGCTTTGGCTATTCAGGGTCTTTTCTTGTTCTGTACAAATTTTAGGATTGTTTGTTCTAGCTCCGTGAAAAATGCTGGTGTTATTATGATAGGGATTGCATTGACTATGTAGATTGATTTGGGTAGTATCGACATTTTAACAATATTTGTTCTTCCTATCCAGGAGCATGGAATCTTTTTCCATTTTTTTTGGTGTCTTTTTCAATTTCTTTCATTAGGTTTCTATAGTTTTCAGTGTATAGATTTGTCACCTCTTTGGTTAGATTTATTCCTAGGTATTTTATGGCTTTTGGTGCAATTGTAAATGGGATCAATTCCTTGATTTCTCTTTCTGTTGCTTCATTGTTGGTGTATAGGAATGCAACCAATTTCTGTGCATTGATTTTATATCTTGCAACTTTTCTGAATCCATGGATCAGTTCTAGTAGTTTTTTGGTGGAATCTTTTGGGTTTTCCATATACAGTATCATGTCATCTATGAAGAGTGAAAGTTTGACCTCCTCCTGGCCGATTTGGATGCCTTTTATTTCTTTGTGTTGTCTGATTGCTGAGGCTAAGACTTCTGAATGACATTGGTGAGAGTGGACATCCCTGTCTTGTTCCTGACCTGAGGGGGAAAGCTCTCAGTTTTTCCCCATTGAAGATATCAGCGTTTGGTCATTCATATATGGCTTTTATGATCTTGAGGTATGATCCTTCTATCCCTACTTTCTTGAGGCTTTTTATCAAGAAAGGATGCTGTATTTTGTCAAATGCTTTTTCTGCATCTATTGAGAGGATCATGTGGTTCTTGTCCTTTCTTTTATTGATGTGAAGCACATTAATTGTTTTGTGGATATTGAACCAGCCTTACATCCCAGGTATAAATCCCACTTGGTCGTGGTGAATAATTTTTTTAATGTATTGTTGGATCTGGTTGGCTAATATCTTGTTGAGGATTTTTGCATCCATGTTCCTCAGGGAAACTGCTCTATAGTTCTCCTTTTTAGTGGGGTCTCTGTCTGGTTTTGGAATCAAGGTCATGCTGGCTTCATAGAAAGAGTTTGGAAGTTTTCCTTCCATTTCTATTTTTTGGAACAGCTTCAAGAGAATAGGTGTTAACTCTTCCTTAAATGTTTGGTAGAATTCCCCTGGAAAGCCATCTGGCCTTGCACTCTTGTTTTTTAGAGATTTTTGATTACTAATTTGACTTCTTTACTGGTTATGGGTCTGTTCAAATTTTCCATGTCTTCTTGTTTCAGTTTTGGTAGTGTATATGTTTCTAGGAATTTGTCCATTTCTTCCAGATTGCCCATTTTATTGGCGTATAATTGCTCATAATATTCTCTTATTATTGTTTTTATTTCTGCTGTGTTGGTTGTGATCTCTCCTCTTTAATTCTTGATTTTATTTATTTGGGTCCTTTCCTTTTTCTTTTTGATCAAACTGGCTAATGGTTTATCAATTTTGTTAATTCTTTCAAAGAACCAACTTCTGGTTTCATTGATCTGTTCTACTGATATTTTTGGTTTCAATAGCATTGATTTCTGCTCTAATCTATATAATTTCCTGTCTTCTGCTGGTTTTGGTTTTGGCTGTTCTTTAAGGTATAAGGTTAGGTTGTATATCTGAGACCTTTCTTCCTTCTTTAGGAAGGCCTGGATTGCTATATACTTCCCTCTTATGACCGCCTTTGCTGTGTCCCAGAGGTAACATTGTTTGGTTTCTAATTGTTCATTACCATAATATAGAAATACATTGATTTTATATATTTATCTTTTTTTTTCTTTTTTAAGTAGGCTCCTTCCCAACTTGGGGCTTGAACTCATGGCCCTGAGATGAAGAATCTCAAGCTCTACCAAATGAACCAGACAGGTGCCCCTCTATATTTATCTTGTATCCTACAAACCTTCTAAAAGTTTTTTCAAATTATTTTTATTTTTGAGAGGCAGAGAGAGACAGGGCATAAGTTGGGGTGGGGCAGAGAGAGAGGGAGACACAGACTCTGAAGCAGGCTGCAGGCTCTGAACTGTCCGCATAGAGCTCAATGCAGGGCCTGAACCCACGAATGGCAAGATCATGACCTGAGCCAAAGTTCGACGCTCAATTGACTGAGCCACTCAGGCACCCCTATCCTACAAACTGTCTAAAATAATGTATTAGCTAAGCCGATTTTCTGTAGAGTCTTTGGTAGTTTCTACATATGCAATCATGTTGTCTGTGAATAAAAAGAATTTTGTTTCTTCATTTCCAATCCTTATGCCTTTTATTATTTCTTTTTGTCTCTGGTGCTGGCTAGGACATCCAGTTACATGTTATTTCAGGTCATGACAAAAATTAGAGAAATGGATGACCTAGAAACTTCTCACAGATGAGTAAGTTCTTATGATGATGAAGATGCATATAGAAGCCATCTCAGTCTGAACTAAAATGGGACACTTATCTGGAAATTATTGGACTGTTGAGTGGTGATGCACTATAAACTTCGTAGTAAGATAATCATTTACATCTCTAGGCACTGTTCCACAAGCTATTTCCAAAATATGATTTAAGACACAATTTGAATACGTTTTTGGGCAACTGTGACCTACAACATATTTTATCAAGTGTGACATCTACTTTATAGACTATCCTCATCCTTGTGTGTGCTCTTGAGTGAGATCACAGATCTGCCTTTAAGCTTCTAATCACCAACTAGTGATAAACTCTTCCATAACCATATAAGCTCAGGAGAAATGGAAGAAGATACTCAAATGTCTTTTTGTAGTTTTAAAAATTAAAAACCCCATAATTCCAATTATTCTGCACAAAGAGGTTAACCAATTATTCATTGACTGAGGAGTCTGAGGAAAGAATAAAGGGTAAATTTTATACATGGTGATGATGATGGTAGCTTTCAGTATATTCTTTTGAGACTAATAACCTGGTAATTCTGAGGGCTGTTAAAGCCATGACTCCTGAGAAGTGAAAAATATTTTGAGAAACTTCCCAGCAGGAGAAGACTCTTAACCTAGGGTTCTGGGCCCCATTCTAGCCCAAATGTTCTGGATTGGCATCAACTCTGTCCCTCTTCCCTTGACCCTGGCTGTAGCCATTCCAGAAGACTGTGATGTCATTAGACACAAGACAAAAACTCCCATTTTGGGGCTTCTCCAGCTGTCCCTAGACACATGGCAACCTTAGCACAAAGAAGAGAATACAGGCTGTGGAACCAGGAGATGTGGTTCCTTCCAGCTGCTGATTTCGAGTCTCTGTCCTTACTGACAGAATGAAGGAGCCAGACAAAATAGTACAGTGATGATACGAACATTCTTTTTTAAAAAACTTCTATGGTGGGTTGTTTTTTTTTTGTTTTTTTTTTTTGGTTTGGTTTTTTTTTTTTTGGTTTTGTTTGTTGCTTAAGACCTTGTAATGTCACAGTATCACAATTATTCTATGAGTGATCTAGAAAAGTATTTTTTTCATTTTCCTGGCAAAAAAAGCTGAAGCTCAGAGATAAATGTCTTAGAGCTAGTTTAAGTGGTAAGGCCTGTGTCAAGGGGCAAATCCAATACTGTTGCCTTCTGGTTTAGCATTCTTTCTACAGTATCATAGGGAAAAGACTGCAAAGAGGCACCCTGCCAGGCACAGTTCTGTTGGCCACCAGTGTTCTTAAAGTTTAAACTGGGATGTGCTTCTCATTTGCACAGGTCACTCCAACCATGTGTTGTGCCCATCACTTTCAGGATCTGCCTGGTCCTTGAGTTGTGACGCTGCCACAGAAACATAGATCCATACATCACTCGATTTCATTCGATTCTAGTATTTTATTATCACATGTGTTCATTCTTCTCTGTTTCAACACTTCCCAGGACTCAACTTGTTCATCTGCATCAAAACAGCTATAACTACTGACTTGTCTAAAAGAAAACACCGTGACCTGTAGTGGCAAATTATCTTTTGGGGCAAGGTTTGCTCTATCATCTGAGCACAGAATATGGTGGCACATAAACTTGCTTTCATCCTAAGTCTGTTCACCCAAAACCTGACTCCTGGAATTCCATCATCTATGATTGTTAGTCAAATAAACACGGACAGAAAGAAACAGAAGACTTTTCAAGAAAATGGCCTTCGCCCTATTCCCCAAAGTCGCAAAGCAAAGGTATGGCTCGGTTAGAGGTACATAAAAGGATCATTTCATTCATACCTCTGGGTTGAGGCTGAAAGCTTTTGCTGGTTTTCCCACACAGAGAAAATCAAAAATAATTTCTTTCATGGCAAAATCTAAGCGTTCCTGTAGTGGAAAAGAGACAACAAAACAAATACTTTAAAATACAAATTCAGTGTGAAGTGTCTATTTTCATTTTAGGCCACCAACAGGTGGTTGCTACAAGAAGCAAGATGCTGTTCAGTTTTATGCATCAAGAGAATCCCTGAAGGAAGACCATGCCCCTTAGAGCCTTGGGTGAAGCTGCCCATTTTCATGTGATGTACAGAGATGCTTTTGTTATGTAAAATGTGGAATTTAGCCCCTAAAGCCTGGAATGACTAATGAGAAAACAAAAAGCAAAAAACAAATCCCCCAAATGAAAAACCAAAACACTTGGAATGTCTGGGCTTAAATACAGTCTCAACACTTTCTGCTTGTAAAGCAAATGCTGATCACCTCTTGAAACTCAGTTTAAAATATATGTTTAAAAATACCACTGCAAAATGACCATCTTCTCCTATTCTCTAACGTTTCAAATCCTTGGGCTCATATTATAATGGACAATGTCTGAAAGCGAAATGAACAATCAACAAATAAGACATACTATGATTACGTAAGTGAGAAAGCAGAAGCCAGATTCTGATGGTTTGAGACAGTGGCTGCTATGATATGACTGGTTCATTTTAAGCAATATTCTGGAATAAGCAAAACACATTCTCAGGCACGTGATAACTATATGCAGAAAAATCACATTAATTCATCTGCCCAAAAAGCAAGAAACATCTTTTCCCTAAGAGCAAATATGACAGAGGCATCTCATTATCCGAACACATAGAGAGATATTATACATTACTAGTCTATGAAGTAACGACTGACCCTTACATCTTTATGTCAATGTCAATTGTACTAATAGTATTTTCATGCCTATAATTTCCCTTTATCCACACAGCATTCTGAAGTACACTGGGCGAGCATTTCCCTCCACGTTTCACAGTTCATTTTACAGTTCAAGACACAGAAGAAAGATGCTCTCTGACTTGTTTAAGGGTATAGAGCTGGCTTGTAGCAGAGGCTGAACAGGGATAATTATCTTTTCACATTGTTCTGTAAGTCACGAGGAAGTCGAAGTTGGGATATAACCATTTACCCACAAAGTATGATTTAAAAAGTAAAAATCTTGGGTCTAAATAGTAAACTAAATACTAAAATCTATGTTTACCATTATTGGACCCAGGTTTTAAGGAAATTAGTACCTGTAAGTTCTTAGAAAAGTTCCTGGCAGGGGCGCCTGGGTGGCTCAGTTGGTGAAGCATCTGACTTCAGCTCAGGTCATGATCTCATGGCTCCTGAGTGCAAGCCCCCCATCAGGCTTTGTGCTGACTGCTCAGAGCCTGGAGCCTCCTTTGGATTCTGTGTTTTTGTCTGTCTCTGCCCCTTCCCTGCTCATGCTCATGCTCTGTCTCTCTCTCTCTCTCTCTCAAAAATAAATAAACATTAAAAAATTAGAAAAAAAAGTTCCTGGCAAAGAGTAAGTGCTTGATAAATTCTAATATTCCTATTCATGCTTCTTTCTCACAGGGTGAAAGAGCATTTTCCTTTACTCCTCAAATTTCACAAAGCAATCTTTTGATTTCCTCCAAACACCAGACTCTTGGCTTCCTCCTGACTTGCAGAATCCAGAGCAGAGCATCGGGACAAAACAGGGACTGGGAGTCAAGAGGCCCTTTTACTAATAGGCTCTATGGCCTTGGATGAGTCACTTAAACTCTCTCCGCTCCTTCATGTGACAGATGCTGAAAACACTTGACGTACCCATGGCACTATTTGTTTTGAAGAAAAAAAAAAAAAGCTACGTGTGAAAACACTGACAACACCATCCTGCAAAGTCTTTCCACATAAGCTATTACTTCAGACTTTTCACCTGGTAGCACTTGCTAGGAAGGAGACTGGCTACTTGAAGGCAGTTAGATCATTCCCACTGCCAGAAGCTTCTCCATTACCTGGGCAATGAACTGGATGATTTTCACAAAGATGTTCAGAGGCATATCCCTTGGCACCACACCACGGGACCCTTTGGGGAAAAGTGTTGTGATGATGGTTATAAGACGGCTGAAAGATAGGGAGAAAAAAAGAGAACACAAGCAAGATTGGCTGAGCTCCAGTTCTGTAAGTGAAAATGGCAGATGTTTCATCTTATCTAAGTATCAGAGAGAATTCAGAAAAAGAAAACAAATCACTTCATCCCTTTTTCATCAGCATAATTACTCTATCAAGTTTTTCTGCAAAACTAAGGGCAGTTGGAAGATCATAGCCGTGTGCTTTGTTAACACGGTGAATGCAACCTTGGCCGTGGAAGCTTGCCGTCCTAGTAGAGGCCAAAGTTTCTGTAATGGCTGCTGAGCTACTGACTAAGCAAAGACTGAAAATGTCCTTAGGACTTAGATCTTTTAGAAAGTGTCAACTTTGAATAGTTTTTACTTTGGTTAATACAGGTAGCAGTAAAACAAAACACCCTCTTTATTGGCTGAGTAATGGTTACCATTAACTCAGTGAGGTAGTTACCATTAACCTAAACCAGATCCTTACCTCTGAGTAGCTGTGTTGCTTTCACATTTAATTCGAATCATGTAAACCCAGAGTAATCTGTATAGAGATTCCAGTGCAACCCGAGCCATCTTGGGGTCTTTATTCTGCAACAGAAACCAGGATGTAAGATAGCATTAGATTTAAGATTTAATTAATATTAGGTGGTAAAAAAAAAAAAAAAAAAGATTAAATGGTACTGTATGAAATGTATGGAGATTATTCTTTTCTGAATGGCTTAGAAATGCAGGGCCCCTACAAGGCACTGCATCATCTGGGATTTATGGAGTATTTGCATCCGGGTGTCCATTGTGTAAATAATCTATGAGGAGGGATCCAAATAGCCATGAGGGCAGGGCAGAGTGGTTCCGGGGGAAGTCATGTCATTCTCTCTTTTGCCAAGGTGAATACTTGAAATTGCCTTCTTCCTCCAGCCCTAGGGAACCTGTATTCTCTAGCACTAAGAGAATAATTAATCTCTTCTTTCTAGTGTTGATTATGCCCTTGTAAACATTGTTTTTGTTTTGATTCCCCAAGTTCCCTACCCACCCCCCCACTGCCTGAATCTAATTACCCACCAACATTTATTGAGATGAATGTGTACTAGGCACTGTGTTAGAACATGGGATATAGAGATAAAAGATAATCCCTTTCCCTAAGTTGTTTACAACCTCTGGGGGATGGGAGATGGATAAAAAGCAATCAACTCTAAGGCAGTAGAAAAAACTGGTAGGCACAGGAGCTAAAGAATGAAAACAGAAAGAAAGACAAGCTATGGCAAGCTCAAGGAAAGTCAGGAAAAATTTTCAGGGGCACATGAAAACTCAGAGGAACTTTAATCCAATCATTTACTCATGTGTTCATTCAACAAACATTTGAGTGGCTACAGTGGGCCAGGTACGGTGCTTGGCACAATATGAAACTTTGCACGGTGTAAAAGGATGATGGGAAGGGAGAGTGTGTGGAAGCTAAGAGAGCTGAAGAAGACCGGTCATGTCTCACACCCTGGCAATAGTTTGTATTCCAGTGCCTAGTGCCAGATGAAGGAGCAGGGGCTGATGAGGGTTATGAGGAAGGCAAGGGTGATGTGTGGGACCCTGCATGCCAGGTTAACAAAGGGGACCAGGGTTCTCCTGATGGTGACAGGAAGCCACTAAGATCAAGGAGACCACGGAAGAAGTCCCCACACCGTGGGGAAAGGAACAGAGGCAGGAGACCAACTGTGACAGAGCTGCTGGCTTCTGGGTAATAACAGGCCAGAGAGGAAGCAACGAATTCTTTCCTCACTGTCCTGTCTTAATCTAATCATATTCCTCTTGATTTAAAAATCATGCACTGGATAGTTTCCCTGATGCCTGTGGGATCCAGGTAACATTTCTTGGCATGGCATAACTGACCAGTCAATATGTAGCTCTAATCTACCTTTTCTGCCTCCATCCTGCTTTTCCCCCACAAGCTTCCTCAACTGTGGCCAGGCCACGTTCATTCCATTTCCATGTCAAGAGTGGGTTCCTTCACCCCTTGCCCCTGCCTCCTTCTTTTCTATCAGGTGAACCCTACTCCTTCACAGTCAACTTGAACATCCCCTCTTTTGTGCAGGCTTCTCTGTTCCTCCCCAGGGTCCTCAATCTCATACCATTAAAGCTAATTATTCTGTCCTGAATGTCTTCTGACCTTCAAACAACCTCTAGCAAATGGTCTTGTTTAGATGTCAGAAAGGAAGGGGCATTATTTACTGTAATATCTATTAGAATTCCTGCCATTCTTCAAGGGGTCGATAAATGTTTCCTAAACCGTGTTTAAATGTCACTTTTAACTGTCTTACAAGTTTTTTGCTCTTACGTTACTTCTCTTCCCTTATTTATTTATCTTGTCATAATTGTCTTAGCTGTTTTATTCTTAGTGTAGATAATTTGGTACTGATTTTTATAGAATTCATAAGTGTTTAGACATAAAGTTTATTTTTAGGCTATTTATGTAAATAAATTTTATGGAAAAGACTATAGAGAGTAGTTTTTTAGATTTAGGAAAAGTGGATTTCTTATGTCAAATTTTTGGTGTGATCATTATTATAAAATTCTAAATTTCTACATGCATTTAGGTCTGTTTTTAGAATTTTATTAGTCTGTCCATTCATGTGCTAATACCACATTATTTTCAGTTTAACATGTGTTTTATTACTAGATTATGCACCTGAAACTAATATTACACTGTATGTTAACTAACTGGAACTTTTCTGGCTCTAGGGAAAAAAAGGCTCTGACTTTTTTTTAAGGCCCCAACTTTTTAAAAGCATACATTTATATACAAAGGACAATTTTTTGCTTGTTTGATTTGCCTGTTTGGCTACATAAAGAAACTTCATGTAAATGACTAAACTGTAAAGTTGCATTTAAAATATTCCATCATTAAAAAATTGGGGTTGGGGCACCTGGGTGGCTCAGTCAGTTAAGTGTCCAACTTCAACTCAGGTCACGATCTCGTGGTCTGTGAGTTCGAGCCCCGCGTCAGGCTCTGGGCTGATGGCTCAGAGCCTGGAGCCTCCTTCCAATTCTGTGTCTCCCTCTCTCTCTGCCCCTCCCCCATTCATGCTCTCTCTCTGTCTCAAAAACAAATAAACGTTTAAAAAAAAAATTGGGGTTGTGTTTTTCTACATTTTTAAAATTTCTAATTTTTTTTGAAGTTTACTTATTTATTTTGAGAGAGAGGGAGGGAGGAAGGGAGAGAGAGAGAGAGAGAGAGAGAGAGAGAGAGAGAGCATATAAGCAGAGGAGGGGCAAAGAGGATTCCAAGCAGCCTTCTTGCTGACACCACACAGAGCCCAATCTGGGACTCAAACTCATGAGCTGTGAGATCACAACCTGCGCTGAAATCAGGAGTCAGACACTTAAGCGACTGAGCCACCCAGGCATCCCCTTCCTTAAGGGACTTCCAATCACCTCCTGGACGTCTCTGTTCCGTGATGTGGTATATGAGGGGGCCTTTGGCAATCTGGCTCCCCCATTACTACCTCCTAGGTTTGGTGCACCCCATGTCATTATATCCCTTCTGCAATTTCCTAAATGCCTCAAATGCCTTCCTACCCCTGGTCTATTTGGAAAACTTCTATTCCCTGGCGAGATTCAGTTAGGTGTTATCTCCTCTGTTAAATCCTCTACTATTACAACAACTATTTCTCCTCCCCTGCCCCCCCCACCCCCTGCAGAGAGACTGCCAAGTGCCTCTACTCTCTGCTTCCAGAATGTTGTTCTACCCCTTTACGTTTCTTACCAGACTGTGAACTCCAGAATTTTGGTTTGTTCATTTTTGTGTCCTCAATGACTGCCATACAACAGGCTATCAGTAAACACCAATGTAAAAAAAGCAGACTGTGAGTAGTTGCAGAACAACTTGATGCATAAGCAAGATGTCTTTATCTAGAACCTATACAAGGAGGCAGTTTGAGACAGTGGCATAGAACCATCCTGAACTTACCTCCTCCTAAGGACACAACAAATCTATAGCTACATATGGAACAGTTCCCTCTGGAAAGAACCTGAGAACTAGCTGAACAGCTACTTTACAACAAAGGGTAAAAGAGCCACGTCAGGACAGGTAGGAGAGGCAGATACGTGGTCTTGACAAAAAAATCCTACCCTCAGAGTGGTGACCCACCACGGGGAGGGGTCTCATGAATAAGGAATTCCTCCCTGAGGAGCATGGAGTTTGTTTCCACATTAGCCACCCCATCCCTTGGGACCTGCATCAGAGAAATGAGCCCCCAAATGGGTCACTTGGAAAATGAACAGGGCTTATATCCACGAGAGCCATAGGGCAGGAGGGAAAGAGAGAGTTTCTGCTCTTAAAAGGCTCACATGCAGATTCACTCTCCCTGGGACCCAGTGAAAAAGCAGCAGTTAGAGAAGAACCTAGACCATATGTGAAGAAGATAAAGTTGCTGAAATTAAGGCACGTGTTAGAAGGGCAAAAGACTGTTGGGACTCTGCCTAGGGATGGAGGCGCTGATGGGTGACATTTTTACCTTCTTTCTCTACCTTGCTGGTGCTGGCACTGGGAAGTACTATTTTTGCACTCACTCTAACCAACCAGTGGCAACTCCAATCCCCCATGCCACTGCTTTGGATTTGCACCTCTTGTGTTGCTCCTATAATGTCACCCCTGTGCCCCTTGACCCCCCAAAGCCAGCACGCATGCACAGCTCACACAAGGGGATGCCCTTGAGTTTTAGGCTCTGGTGGCCAGGGGGATTGCATTTCTAGACCCTATGAGTCTTAAACAGCCAGAGAGAAAGTTCCAGAGACAACCAAGAGCTAGGGCAAAGTTAAATATTACGGTTCATTGCTTACATAGGGCCACCCCCTTAAGACTGGGTGAGATAGCTATTTTGCCCAACACATAGAAACAAACAGAGAGAGTCCAGCAAAATGAGGAAACAGAGGAATATATTCCCAACAAAAGAACAAGATAAAACCCAGGAGAAAAAAAAAAAAAAACTTTACTGAAATGGAGATATATAATTTGCCCGATAAGGAGTTAAAGTAATGGTCATAAAGATGCTCACTGAACTGAGGAGAAGAATGGATGCACACAGAAAGATTTCAACATAGAAGAAAAATAAGAAAAGATCAGAAAGTCCCAAACAGAAGTCACAGAGCTGAAGAACACAACTGACTGCACTAAAAAATATACTAAAAAGGTTTAACAGCAGACTAGATGAGGCAGAAGGAAGAATCAGTGGTCTGGGAGACAGGGCAGTAGAACTCACCCAAATAGAAAAGCAGAAAGAAAAAAATTATTAAAAAAAAATAAAGATAGCTTAAGGGACCTATTAGACAACATCAAGCAGAATACAGGGCTTCCAGGAGGAAGAGAGAGAGAGAGAAAGGGGCAGAAAACTTATTTCAAGAAATAATGGCTAAAAACTTCCCTAAAAAACTTCCAAACAAGAATATTGTATGCAGCAAGATTATCATTTAGAATTAAAAAAGAGATAAGGATTTCTGCAGACGAGCAGAAGCTAAAGCAGTTCATCACCACTGAATTGGCCCTAAAAGAAATGTTGAAGAGACTGCATTAAGCTTAAAACAAAGGGCACACTAATTAGTGA